GTCTTTCTATGACCTATCATAAGATACTAATATTCTTAATATTTAGCATGCTGTTCCCAAGATATTGAACCTAAGTATTAGAAGAGAGCAAACAAAAAATGTCAAAAGCAATATCCCGTTTAGGTTCGTTAAGGTGTTTCTATCGTTAGTGACTGTAAATAATTTAAAAAATAATCCATGACTTAGGAATTTCAGATCTTTATAGACGGTTTAATTCCAAGTTATTGAAAAAATGTTCATGAAAGGTAATGTTTTTATTGATTCAAAACAATAAATAAATAAATTAATTAATTTTTAATTATTTTATTTTTTAGAAAGCAGTAGCTAATATTAAAATACTTCTAACTGAATTAAAATATAAAAAAGGGATCTGGTAAGTTATAAATGTCTTATTTCATCACGTGGTTCTACTAAAAATGTCGATTATTTGCAGAAAATGTAAAAAATGGATCTGACCGTTTAAACTTTGGTGGTAAATGTATTGGACATGAGAGAATCCTATTTTTATTGCTTCCTAAAGTATAACTGGTAATTTCAATAAATACAAAAGTATGTATATTCAATATTAATTATAACATTATTTTGGTTTATTTCGTTGAAGGATTAATGCGTTCCATAATATAACTCTTACAATTTGATGGATTAATCATAAAATTGATGAAGAACTACAAAAATATTTTAGAGTCCAACGTTTTACAATTTTTGGAAGTATACCAGTCAGCAGTTGGAATATTAATACAGACTCCCTGAAAATTATCTTATTATAAGGTAATAATTCTAAATTTTTGATACATATGTACATTAGACCGACTCCCTCTGTATGGAAAGCAAAAACGTGTTTTTGTTACCCCTCCCAAAATTTACCTTGCTTTGTTTTATGATGATTCCCAAAATATTTTAAGTGACCACTGAACCAAATTAAAAAAAGGTATTTTGGAATTATTTTTTTTAAATTTTTGTTTGTTTTGAAACAAAATATCCAATACGGGGTATCGTTTAAAAGGTATTTTAAAGTCGCGTCCAATGATGTATTAATCATAAATAACCGTTTGCTTATAATTGTCATATTCCAAAATATTTAAAATTGTTAGGTTTTTACTAAGAAAAATTAAATATATGCACAATTTTGCAAATTTTGCGCACCACTAGACCTGGCTTTAAAAAACCTTTCAAATGATACCACATACTGTATATATTGTTTAAGAAATGCTGTATAATTTAAAACAAAATAACTAAAAAGGGACTTTTTTGTAACCGGTTCAGCTCACGAACGGCCACCGATAGACTAGAAATATTTTGGGAACCATTATAAAACATAACAAAGATTTTTTGAAGCTGGATAAAATATTGAATTTAACATGAAGAATCGTGTTCCCATACGATATTTTCTTTAAAACTGTCCAGCTCACGAATGGACAACACTTAACCGAAAATATTTTGGGTAACATCATATTACATAACAGCGAATATTATGAGGGGGCTAACTCAAGCACCATTTTTTGTGAGTCGGTCTAATGTACATATATTACTTTTTTTAGATTAGTTGTTAAATCTGTTATTTTTTCTACTATTTTAATTTCAATTAATTCAATAAAAACTATAAAATTTCATTTTATTTAGATTTATTTTTATAGATTTTATTTTGGTGAGTATACAAATAGAAGAAGAGAAAACTCATCTTCTAGAAGACGAGAATACTCATCTTCTAGAAGAAGAGAATACTCATCTTCAAGAAGAAGAGAATACTCTTCTTCAAGAAGAAGAGAATACTCTTCTTCTAGAAGAAGAGAAAACTCATCTTCTAGAAGATAAGATAGGAACACTTCTAGAGGATACTAGGTAGTCACTTCTTGAGTCACTTCAAGAAGTGACTTCCTAGTCACATCTAGAAGAGTCTTTGGCAATACCTTACTTCCAAGAGTCATCTAGAAGTTTCTTCTGCTGGTCTTCCAGAAGTATCTTCCAAGTTACTATTAGACGTTCCCCAGCTCGGCATCAGTTCTTCCCGACTGGTGACAAGAATTCTTATACTTCCGCAACATCGCTGGCGAGCTTTTAGCACGTTTGGAAGTTTCACACGGGTAACTTCCGCAATAGAAAATGTTTGTAGGGAATGACTAGACCAACGCAGTCAATGCCAACAACATGGCAACAACAAGAAAACTTTAATTTTTCTTATAATTTTTCATTGTTTTTTTTTTTTGTTTCTTGTTGCTTTTGTCATATATGTTGTTGTATTTTTTTAACAATATCAAGAACAACAGCAACAACTACAATAAATCATTAATAAAGAGTAGAAGAAAATATTTTTCAAAAAATGTTCAACATTCTTGTTGTTGTTGTTAGATTGGCAACAACAACAACAATAATTACCAATTTACTTTTTCTTGAATATGAATATAATCTGAAATTTGATTTAGTTATGATCATTTAATATCAATGTAAAGAGAGAGAGAGAGAGAAACAACAAAGAGTATTAATTGGCTTTTTAAGTTTTCTCTGTTGAGCTCTTTTATCATTTCACTGAGTATCCTTGAAAGGAATTCCATGTATGCATAGATTTTGCCATATTTTGTCATTGAAATATTGTTTAAATTTTAGAGAGAGAGTGGACTCTCTCTCTCTCTGGCTATTTTTCACCCACACAATTGAAAGAGAACATTTTACGCTAATTGTTAAATGCGTGAGCATGGGAAATGCGCATAATGCAATGCGCAAAAGAGATTTTGCTGAAAAGAGAGAGAGAGTGCGAAAAAGCTTTCGCTCAAATATCCTTTTTCGTTTGTCTTACTCTGTGCTAACTTTATACTAAACGCAATCGATTGCATCATAGTCATAGCTGGTGGCTAACAAATATTCTCACACACACACACCAAACTAACTGATCACCTACTAACTGACTCATAAAATCATCTTATGCTAGCATCCTATATTAGACAACCCAACAAACAAATACAACTACACGCTATTACCAAATCAACTATTATGTCTGCCTCCAAACTTGAGAGTGATGATCACGTGTGTATGAGTGTGTGTGAAAGTGTATTGTGGGGTGTTGTTATGCCAGAGTAGTGGTGTACATAGATGGAATGTATAGATCATCTAAAGCGTTGAAGCAACGCCAATGTACATGTGTGAACCGAAAAAGGGAGCGAAACTAATTCTACCACCCCCTTAAGGGGGAACACAACACACACTAGCATACGTTGAGGCAAAGAGGGGCTAGAATCGCCAGTGTACGATCGCTTTAGCAGAGATCGTGGCAAATAAACGGTATCAAATTGCCTCATATAAAAAGGAACGTTACCGGCTGTGTGGGTCAGAACGGCTTTCGAACGCGTAAGTGCAACACCTGATGTTGATAAATTTTTTTTTGGTTTAATAATCTTGGATATTGGTTTTTTTACTGTACTACTACTACACACTGTTTTTGTAAATCAAGCAAAAAAAGAAAAAAATCTGAAAAAATAATTGAAGCAGCAAGAAGAGGGGAAATTTTCAGTTTTTTTGTGTGGAATAGTGTGAAAATAAAGAAAAAAATATTTTGAAATTATTTAGTGGTGTATCCTGTTTGGAATTTATAAAAAAAAAATAGAAGGTCCTAAAAGTAACCTTCATTATTTGAAAAAATATTAAAAAAAAGAGAAAAAAGTTATAAAACTAAATAACTGAACTATAAACATTTGCAAAAAAAGAAAAAATTAATAATTAAAAATTTCTAAGAGAAATTCTTCCAAAAAAAAGTGACTCTAAGTTATAATTAAAAGAAAACCTAAACTTAAAATAGCAGCCAACAATAACTATGGATTACTCAAGCAATTTTTATTATGGATTACTTAAACTGGATTAATTTCTAATAGAAAACTACAAAAAAACTTACACTTACAGAAAGAACATAACCTTAAATTTGAAAAACAAATACGTGGCAACGCACAACAGATATCTTGTGTAACAAGGCCTTAGAGTTTTTTTTTTATGAAAAAGTTTTGTAATTATTAACTGCAATTCTTAAATTTTTTTTAAATTAATTAAAGTGACATTTTGTTAAAAGTATTTCAAATTACATTTTAACATTAAATTACATAATAACTTTAAAACTTTAATTGCACTTTATTACATAAAGTTTAGAATTTGTTAAAAAAAAGCTTTTTAACTTAACTTTTAAGAAACTTTATATAAAAACCACTAAAATCTAATGGTTTTTCCTATTCGAAACAAAATTTTAATTTTAAATTTTTTAAATTTTTATTTAAATAATTAAAACTTTTAATTGTTTTCATTTAGGTAAAAAAACAAAAACATTTTAAAGAACTGTCATAAAGCAACAGTTTTGAAAAGGAAATGTCACATAAAATAAAAAAAAATTTGAAAATAGAATGAAAGAAATATTGGCTAAAATCCAAATTTCTTGAAAAGAAAAACTAATATTTCAATATTTTTAAAATTTTACAAAAAAAAAAAAAACTAAAAGAACATTAAGTTAAAAAGCACACATCATTTTGAAATTTAAAAAAAATTTAAGAAAAACACAAATGTTATATACAAAATTTGTTTAATATTAGTAGAAAAATGTTTAAAAAAGAAATTTTTAAAAAATTTGATTTAAGGCAAAAGACAAGGCAAGGCAGACGATTGACAGTCAGTTGAAGAGAAAAGAAAAAGCTTTTTGCGTTGATTTTTTTCTATATATATATTCTATATATAACGATATATATATAAAAAAAATTATAAGTAGATAGGTCAACCAGAAAAGAAAAACGAATACAGAGAGTTTTATCTAACAAAACACAGAGAGAAATTGTAAGAGAGCTCTTGATATATATACAGATATATGTGTGTATATATATATAGATATTTGGTTATACTTAGAAGTGTGTCTATAACTAAAAAGTTTCGAAATCATTTCGAACCAAAAATATATATATATACCTACATACATACATACATATATATATGTATGTGTATATATACAACAACAACAATAAAATATTTAAAAATAAACTCCTAGACAATTTGTTGAAATTCTTAGATGTTTTCAAATCATTGCGATCTCGCACTTCGGTCGTTTTAGATCAATTCCTTTGGCGGATGTTTTAACGAATTCTAACGGATTTTCAAACGAATTTTTTTTTTCTGATTTTAACTGAAAAACGAAGCGATAAAAAAGGCTTTATAGTCCTTTCAAAAAAAAAACGAAGCTTATTTTTTGTGTGGCACAAATATATAGACAATTGTGATTTAATTTTAATACAAATAAACTCTAGTAAGTGACAGTGCTGAAGTGGGAAATTTAACAAAAAAAAAAATTTAAACAAATAAATTTTTAAAAAATTTTGAATTAAAACAAAATAATTAAATAAAATTCCAATAATGGAAAAAAATTATTTTGGAATTTAAATAATTTTTCTTAAAAAAAATATTTGAAATAAAGAAACAAAATAAATTTTAGTGTTTAAAAAAAATTTGAAAAAAAATTTTAAAATTTAAAAAATTTTTAAAAATTTAAAAAAAAATTTAAAAAATCTTTTAAAATTTAAAAAATCTTTTAAAATTTAAAAAAAAGTTAAAAATTTTTTTAAATTTTTAAAATTTAAAAAAAATTTTAAAAATTTTTAAAATTGAAAAAAAAAATTTTAAATTTAAAAAAAAAAATTAAAAAAATTTTAAATGATTTTAAAAAAAGTATTTTAAATAAAAAAAATAATAAGGGAATTTTGAAATAAAATTTTATTTTACGTAATGTTAGAGTGAAACCCCGTTAGGCAGATTTTGAATATAAAATATTTCTATTAATTTGCTCATTGATTTGTGTTAGTGGTTACGCTAGTGAAACGCTTGCGCCTATAAAATTCTTTAAAATTCTGGCTGCCACTCATTCATACACTCACTCACTCAATCACTTGTTTATTTTGTGCCGATCTATAATTAGCAACAACCCACACCTTAAGTATATCTATCTATAGTGGGGTGGCTCGATCGGTGGGTTGTTTAAACAAATCGTTTAAAATACCAGCTACTACTACCAACAAATAGAAATTGTATGTTAAACATGTGTTAGTGTCTGTGTAAACTTACGCACAGTAAAAATACTTTTCGAAAATTAAAGAATTTTCTTTTTATAAATGAAAATTAGTTTCAGTGTATGGGTTATGGCTGCATAACAGCAATAGGAAAATACTATCCAATTACCACACACACAACCAAACTTAAGAAAGAAAGAGTAAACTACAGAAATAGGAAAAAATTTCTTTATATGGAATTTCGAAAAATTTAGTTAAACAATTAACAGAGAGAGAGAGAATATGAAATCCACGGGTAATCCATAGGAAATTAGGTCACCACTAAATAAGCAAAATATTTCAAAATAAAACCAATAACTAAAATTTAAACAATATTTTTTTCAAAATAATTAAAAACTAAACAAATTTAATAACCTTAAATTTTTCGTTCTTTTCTCTTGCAGGGAAGCATTTGGGCTGAGACGACGATATAATAATTTGTTCATTTTTTTAATTCTAAAACTATACAAAAAAAAAGAAATTTTGCGTTTTTGCAAAAAACTCTAGCCCTATCTCAAACGAGTTTTTTTTAATTATTTTTAAAAGCGAAAACTAATTCAAAATGCCGCGTCCAATTGCTAGCCAAGAAGATGAGGATCCAACCCCATACTTGTTTGTATCGTTGGAACAAAGGCGTATCGATCAATCGAAACCCTATGACTCTAAGAAGAACTGTTGGGTTCCCGATGAGAAAGAGGGTTATCTCCTTGGTGAAATTAAGGCCACCAAGGGTGATATTGTCAGCGTTGGCTTGCCCGGCGGTGAGGTAATACTAAACGAAACCATACCAACACAACCAACCGTGTTCATTCAACTCCTATATATATAATGAAAATCCAAAAATTTTATAGTTTTCATTTTCTTTAACATTTCCTAAAGAATGGCAACAAAATGTTTTAATTTTGTCTCTGTTTAAGGTTAAATTTAACCAGCTTCCCTAAAGGGGCAGCTGTGTTTAAATTTATCTACTACTTCTGGACCACACTAGTACATTTTGTTGTTTAGATAATGAAAATTCTAAAATTATTCACTATTATATAGGTAAAAGATTTTAAAGCCGATAAAATTGAAAAAGTGAATCCTCCAAAATATGAAAAAGTTGAAGATATGGCTGACATGACTGTCTTGAACACTCCTTGTGTCTTACATAATTTGAAGCAACGTTACTATTCCAAACTTATCTACGTAAGTGTCCCACAACAAACCATACTAATCTATGTTTTTCTTTCCTTCTCTTTCTTTCTATCAAACAATCTATTAAAAACTTAACCCAAACAAAAAAAAAAAAAAAAAAAAAAAAACAAAACAAAAAATCTTCTAAATTGGGGTTTTTGTAAAACGTAATGGGGTTCAAAACATTTGCTTTTAATGGTAAAATAAAAGACCAAAGATTTCAAGAAAGATCAGCTCCAACAAGTCAACCCTCCCAAATACGAAAAGGCTGAGGATATGTCTAACTTGACATACCTTAACGATGCCTCCGTACTCCATAACTTGAGACAAAGATACTACCACAAACTTATCTACGTAAGTATGCCGGGCAAAAGCTTATCAAAATTAAGCTTTTTGTGAAAGCTTTCTATGTTCTATGTTTTCTTTATAATCTAACATGTTAGGTCCTCAATAGTCTTATTAACCCATATCATGTAAAACTTTTGGAGAAACTCATTTTAACTGCTCTAGCCCTTTAAATTTTGAAATTAGTAAAAAAAAAGCTTTAAAAAACTTTAATTGGCATTTCTTTAGACCAAAAGAGCTAATACCCGCTTTAGAATCATAAATTTCCCTTTATTTGTTGTGTTTAGGTCCAAAAATTGGATCTTACGCGTCCAGGGTCTAATTGTTGTACCCATTCATTAACAAATCAATTGTATGGGAAATTTCTCAAAATTTTTACTTCATTTTAAATGTTGTAATAATTATCATTTTGCATTTGTCATTAATATTATGCATAAATCAGCTTTATACAATGCATGCTCTAAACAAACGCTAAAACTTTGCTCCTCCACCACCAGTCTTGAGAACTTGAACTGGCCCGATACTCCCATAAACACACGCACACCCATAAATCGGTATAGAAATGAACTCCAAACAAACTGGATACAAAACATACCAACATACGATGCGATCATACAAAAAAAACTCTCTCCACAATCACACAAAAAAAAAACACTTCGTTAAAATAGACAAAAACGAAGCTAAACGAAGAAAACCAGCATATAACAGTAAAACTATGACTTAACTGAGCTGAGATTTTCATCATACTCCAAAATATATTTAGAAAAATTCCTACCCCCAACCAAGAAAAAAAAGATAAAATCATTTAAAACATGATCTTTTTGTTTTTACCCTGTAGTAAAATTTTTTATATATCAAAACCCATAGAGCGAAATCTAAGAACTGGCAGTAAATTTCGTAAATTTTCTTTTCGAAAATTAAGCACAAACTTAGATATCGTTCTATAGCACCTTAATTAAGGAAAAACTAATGTAATATCTTTTTTCCCCCCAATCTCCGTAATGGCAATTTTGTTATTTAATACAGACCTACTCTGGTCTTTTCTGCGTTGCCATCAATCCCTACAAGCGTTACCCCGTATATACCAACCGTTGCGCTAAGATGTACCGTGGTAAGCGCCGTAATGAAGTGCCACCCCACATTTTCGCCATTTCTGATGGTGCCTACGTCGACATGTTGACCAACCACGTCAATCAATCTATGTTGATTACCGGTGAGTCTGGTGCTGGTAAGACTGAAAACACCAAAAAGGTAATTGCTTACTTCGCCACCGTTGGTGCCTCCACCAAGAAGGATGAAAGCCAAAAGAACAAGGGCTCCTTGGAAGATCAAGTCGTACAAACCAATCCTGTTCTTGAAGCCTTCGGTAACGCCAAGACCGTCCGTAACGATAACTCTTCTCGTTTCGTAAGTATTAACTTGTCGTTTTTTCTTTCTCTCTCTAGTACTTAATACAAATTTTCTCTTTCTCTCTTGGTACTTAGGGTAAATTCATCCGTATTCACTTCGGCCCCACTGGTAAATTGGCTGGTGCTGATATTGAAACTTGTAAGTATTAGCTTTTATCTCTTATCAAATCTCCCTTTATTTTTACTTACTTTGTATCTCTCTTTTCTCTTTTATTATAGACTTGTTGGAAAAGGCTCGTGTCATCTCCCAACAATCTTTGGAACGTTCTTACCACATTTTCTACCAGATCATGTCTGGTTCCGTTCCCGGTGTTAAAGGTATATTCTTATGTTTACATCATTATCACTCTCTCACTCTCTATATCTATATCATTCTCAATTGTCTCTCTTTTATACGTTTGTATCTGTCATTTTCATCTGTTGGTCTTCGCCATGTTTAGATTTTAGGTCAATCGATGACCTTTACTCATTTATTCATGTTTAAACATTTGAAAAACTACAGTTAACTTTTCTTGTGTCTTTTAAACAATTCTCTTTTGTTTAGAATAACATTGAATTTTTGCAAACATTTACATAGAACACTCACTCATCCATAACATTTGATATTATTTTATATAGATTACTGTTTGTTGTCCAACAACATCTACGATTACCACATTGTCTCTCAGGGCAAGGTTACTGTTGCCAGTATCGATGATGCTGATGAATTCTCCCTTACCGATGTAATTTCCTTTTACTTTTATATTTATATATATTTTTTTAAATCTAACGCCTCTAATGCAATCTAAGCAGCAATTATCAGACTTAGTTCCAACAATATTTTTAACTTTGGAGTAGATAGATTCAAATGAAAGCAAAAAGCTTCTAGTACAAAAAGTTTAAAAAAGCTTTAACATTCTAACCCCTCAGATAGTAGGTATAGCAAGTGAAATGAATAGTTTTGTGTTATACAGTTATGATTAGGTTCTTTCTTTTCAACTTTTGACTTCTTCGGAAACTTCTTATGGTCTTACCCATTATTGTATATAAAAAGTATAAAATTTCAGTTTAATTTTTATTTAACTGTGAATTCTTAAAATTATTTTTTTTTATATAAATATGTATGTATGTATTTTATATATATGATATAAAGAGATGACATTTTTATCACCACATATTGGTGATTATCCCGGAATATGTCAGGGTAAAACCAGGATACCCGGTGTCAACGATGGTGAAGAATTTGAATTAACCGATGTAAGTTGGGTTTAACTAAAACGCAAATAAACCAAATCAAATCAGCCCAAATATCCTAGAGCCCTTTAAAAGAAAAACTACTTTTGAAAATATTTCTATATCCCTTGAGCCTAGAGCTATATATGTAAAAAGTTACTTAAACTTTCTCTTCTCTCTCTCTCTTTCTGTCTCTTACGTTTTATATATACATTTTCTTTTAGAAAAGCTCTCACTTTTCTCTATACACCAGTTTGTATTTGTTAATACAACATATAAATATTATAAATTAGTAAATATTATAAAAAAATATATTTTGTTTATCCCTTGTATATATAGAAATAATTTTCATTAATTATTCCGGAATTTCTATCTCTTGAATTATAAATATATCAAAGCTCCGTTTGACGTAACAAATATCTCTCACTCTCTTTCTCTCTCTCTCTCTCTCTTATACACAAATTTTCTTATTTCTATTTACTTTCTTCTACAACTATCTTACTCTTACTCTCTGTCTCTATCTCTGTGTCTTTTTACACACACTTACACACTCTGTCCCTTGCAGTATTGTAAATACCCCCTTAATCCTTTTGAATCTGGTTAGGAGCAGGGCTCTGTTTTGGGATAAAAACTTACAAAATTTAATTTAAAATTCTTCTTCCTTACTGGGCACTGGGTTTTTTCTTGTTTTACTAAAGTTAAGAGAACACAATTCTAAATGAGAACATGCCCGCTCCTAGCTTGGATTTATTGAAATGAATCCTTGTAGATACACTTTGAGTTGATCATGAAAACACACAAAAACACTCACATATAACACCAGCATTGATTGTCCTTTGGAAAAAATCACAAAAATCTTTTCTCCATTATTGAGCGTTTTGAGCGGAAAAAAACATGGACGTTTCGTATTTTTACATATTGTTGTTAATAATTCTTCATTGTTTAAACCAAAAGAAAAAGAGAAAAAAAACTTTAAACTTGAATTTTTCGTGACTTAGATATGTGCTTCTTGTCTGACAACATTTACGACTACTATAACGTATCCCAGGGTAAAGTCACTGTACCCAACATGGATGACGGTGAAGAATTCCAGCTTGCCGATGTAAGTTCCAAGTCAAAATGTCAGGGTATTAAATTCAAGAAAACACAACTCCCAATATACCAACATAAACCAACACCAATAACCCAAATACCTATATAGAAAATGCCAGTCTATGTGTGATGGCTACATCCAACACCTACTTCCCTTACAAAAACACATACACACTTACATTTAATTTTCGATTCGATTCTGTGTTTTCTTTTTTTTAATAATTTTTTTTATTGTACTGTGTATGGCCTCTCTTTGTTCTAAACTCTTGAAGTATTTCTGTGTGTCTTTCTCTCTCTGGATGAATTAGAAGACGATGAAACAGATGAAAAAAAGAAGAGTTTAGTTTTAATGGATTTGGTATCCCTTTGTTTCAACCCCCCCTCTAATGTTTGTGTTCGTAAGATTTGTAGCACTTGACTTGGTTTGAAGCTCCAATAAGATCTACAAATCATTGACTAAAGTGGAATGAATGTTTGGCATGTTGAACGATATTGGATATTGCAATTATCTCAATATCTAAATTCCCGAATTGAATAGAAAGTAACGACTGACCATCAATAGAATACTTGATCGTGTCGTTTAAAATATTACTATATTATTGTTTTGATCTTAAGTTAATGTTATTAATCTCATACATTTGACTATTGAATGCACGTTTTGTTGAAATTCATATTTAATTAGATATTGAAAAAAATTGTAAATTAAAATTCCCACTCCGTTTTCCCCCCGTCATTTTATACTTTTTCCAAAGTACATATCTTCATCTTTAATTCCGGAATATTTTTGTACTCATTACTTTTGTAATTAATGTAAAATACAATCAAGAAATTATAAGGAATGTTAGTTAAAGTTATTAATAAAAAATCCATAAAAACGGATTTAATTGTTAAGAAATTTAAAAAACAATCACAGGAATGTTAAATAAATATGTTTAGGTGTAATATTGCTTAAAAAACAAAAATTAATAACAATTAAAAATTAACAAAAAAAAAAGCTTGATTACAACTAAAATTAGTTTTAAGAAAAAAAAATATTTAATAAATAACTAATAAATTGTAGAAATTAGGCATGCAACTCACAGAAAAGAAACAATTAAAACTCACCTAAAACTCAACTTGAAAAAACGCTTACAACTGGCTTTTTTTATACCCACAAAAAGAAAAATCACTGGAAAATCTAAAAGCAAAATTTTAATCTATAATTTTCTCTCTCTCCCCCTAATTCCCATAAAAAACAACAGCAAGCCTTCGATATCTTGGGCTTCACCAAGCAAGAAAAGGAAGATGTCTACAAGATCACCGCCGCTGTCATGCACATGGGTGGCATGAAGTTCAAGCAACGTGGTCGCGAAGAACAGGCTGAACAAGATGGTGAAGAAGAAGGTGGTCGTGTTGCCAAATTGTTCGGTTGCGATACCGCTGAATTGTACAAGAACTTGTTGAAACCCCGCATTAAGGTCGGTAACGAATTCGTCACCCAAGGTCGTAACGTACAACAAGTCACCAACTCTATCGGTGCTCTCTGTAAGGGTGTCTTCGATCGTCTCTTCAAATGGTTGGTCAAGAAGTGTAACGAAACTTTGGATACCAAGCAAAAACGTCAACACTTCATTGGTGTATTGGATATTGCTGGTTTTGAAATTTTCGACGTAAGTTTTCAGTATACCAACACATACACACATATAAACACACACACATACATACATACCTACATACAAATACATTTATCATACAAAAGCTTTTAAGGAAAATCTTATTAAATGTTGTTACTCTTTAGTAAAAGTGTAACGCTCTTAATAAGTGGGTTTTCATATAAAAGCAGGGATAAGCAAAGAAAAGAGCTTAATAGAAATGTTTACTCTTATTGTTTGCTTTATCCCACTACAAATTAACACTCCACCTACATATATTTATACTCAATTGGGCATAATTTCAAAAAAAAAAAACTTCACACTATCTCTTATACTACGAGAGTGAACTTTCAATGACTTGCTCACTTAATCTCTCGATAGTACAACGGCTTCGAACAATTGTGTATCAACTTCACCAATGAGAAGTTGCAACAATTCTTTAACCATCACATGTTCGTATTGGAGCAAGAAGAATACAAGAAAGAAGGTATTAACTGGGACTTTATCGATTTCGGTATGGACTTGTTGGCTTGTATCGATTTGATTGAAAAGGTGCTTAAATGACAATTATTCACTTAAATATGTTAGTTCTGTTCTGTCCTGTCCTCAATGTAAAATCCCATTGTCTTCGCTATATAGAACTGTTTTGTACAGTTTCAAAAGCACTGTAAAGTTAAATTATGCATACTTGCAAAAGCAGTATAGATTTGACTTTACAAAGCTTTTTTTTAGAAAAAGCTCTGGCTTTTTCTTTAGAAATCTATGCAATGAATGTATGTCAGCACCACCTTTTGTTATTTTTTTATTGTTTGTATCTATTTAGTAGAAAACAAAGCTAATGGGTTCTTAGAAATTTCTTTCAAATGTGAACAATTTAAAGGGTAACAGGTAAATTTGTTTTGTATAAATTTTGCACTTTGCACACTAAACGAACATTTAAGCACAAACATTTAAATGCACCTACAATTTGTAAGAATATGAATGTTCACATAAACACCTGTAAATGTATCCACCATTATAGTACAACGGTTTTGAACAATTGTGTATCAACTTCACCAATGAGAAGTTGCAACAATTCTTCAACCATCACATGTTTGTGTTGGAACAAGAAGAATACAAGAAGGAAGGCATTGACTGGGCCTTCATTGATTTCGGTATGGATTTGTTGGCCTGTATCGATTTAATTGAAAAGGTTTGTCTTTAAAAGAAAAAAACTAAAAGAGAAACTTCAACTAAAACCGCGGGCCTCAAATTTATTCTATTTCTCTTCTCTTTAGTTACTTTAAAAGTGATATAAGTAATAAATGAGATTATTTACCGTATTCTCTGGCACATTACTGCGAATTGAGACTCTCTAGTAATGTGTCTCTTCTTCTTCTGACACACTTTTGTCTTTCTCTCTGTCTCTCTTTTGCACGTTCTTACATCATATACACATCCACACTTGTACTTTACATGTGTTATGTATCCTTAAATATCTTTAGCACCAATCCTTTTTATGTATTGTTTTTCATCTGAATTTCTTCAAATTTTTCTTCCATCTTGGACTATCTATACTGTCTCTACATACATAAACAAAAATTGTCTCGAAACCCTTGAACCCTAAAACAGTACAATGGTTTCGAACAATTGTGTATCAACTTCACTAATGAGAAGTTGCAACAATTCTTTAACCATCACATGTTTGTGTTGGAACAAGAAGAATACAAACGCGAAGGCATTGACTGGGCCTTTATTGATTTCGGTATGGATTTGTTGGCCTGTATTGATTTAATTGAAAAGGTTTGTCCTTAAAAAATATGAAAAAAAAAAATAAAAATTGGCCTCAAATTAATCGAATGCAAAACAACAATGGAATGTTTATAAACATGCTTGATATGTTCCCATTCTATTATCCAAAAGGATTTACTTTCATGCATATCACTGAAACTTAAGACTTAAGTGATACCTGTGTTTGTTTGGCTTTATATCCAACAAAAAAAAAACTACAAAATCCTCTCAAAAACAACAAAAAGTAAAATAAACTTGATAAATCTAACTATAATGAGAAATCAAGTTTATCACCTATTTGGCCTAAAACATAAAAATTTCCTCTCGAAAAGAAAAGTGCTCTAAAAGCACCTCAAAATCCCCAACTTCATCAAAGAAACAAAGAATGAAACAAAAACCCATGTATGTATAATTAACTAACCTCCACAATATCACCCTCATCACCAGAAACATATATATATTATTATCCCTTCATCCTCCCCAAATCCATAACTAATTTCCAAAAAAAATGTTCTAATTCCGATATACAGTACAACGGTTTCGAACAATTGTGTATCAATTTCACTAACGAAAAATTGCAACAATTCTTCAACCATCACATGTTCGTTTTGGAACAAGAAGAATACCAACGTGAAGGCATCGAATGGACTTTCATTGATTTTGGCATGGATTTGCAAATGTGTATTGAATTGATTGAGAAGGTATAAACTTAAGAGAAAACTGATCACTGCCTACCACCGATCAGTGTTAAACTTTCTCATTTTCTAAAAAACAACAACTACTTACTTACTACTCTTCTAAACAAAAAGTAGCGTTTGAAAAGTAAAACTAAAGCTTTTTACTAAAACAAAAGCCAAAACTGAAAAAACTGTAAAATCACACTATCACTTACCTATCTCTGATCTATAACCTAACCACTTTTCCTTTACTCTCTGTCACTCCCGTGCTCTAACTCAGCTAGAAACTGTTATTGTTAACAAATAATCATAATTTTAAGTGTTTTCTTATTTAGCAATTAAAATTCTCAGAACTAGCTCTCTCTATGCTTTCTAAAAGAAAAACTAACCCATTTCTTTGGTATTGGTAAGTACCGTTAATAAAAAAAATCTTGTGCACTAAACCTCTAGTAAACGTGGCTCGTTAAAAAATAATGTAAAAAATCTAACCCTAAAATCTTGCAGCTAAAAAACAAAAACTAATGGAAATTTCTTTCTCTATCTCTCTCTCTTCCTGTTCCTGTTCTGCTGCCAATAAATAGCCTATGGGTATCTTGTCCATCCTTGAAGAAGAATCTATGTTCCCCAAGGCTACTGATCAAACCTTCGCCGAAAAGTTGACCAACACTCACTTGGGCAAATCTGCTCCCTTCCAGAAGCCCAAACCACCAAAGCCCGGTCAACAAGCTGCTCACTTCGCTATTGGCCATTATGCTGGTGTTGTAGCCTATAACATCACCGGTTGGTTGGAAAAGAACAAGGATCCCTTGAACGACACTGTTGTCGATCAATTCAAGAAATCCCAAAACAAATTGTTGGTAGAAATCTTCGCTGATCACCCTGGTCAATCCGGTGGCGGTGAACAAGCCAAGGGCGGTCGTGGTAAGAAGGGTGGTGGCTTCGCTACTGTATCTTCAGCCTACAAGGAACAATTGAACAGCTTGATGACCACCTTGCGTTCCACACAACCTCACTTCGTCCGTTGTATCATTCCCAACGAAATGAAACAACCCGGTGTTGTTGATGCTCACTTGGTTATGCATCAATTGACTTGTAACGGTGTACTTGAAGGTATCCGTATTTGCCGTAAAGGTTTCCCCAACAGAATGGTATACGCTGATTTCAAGCAACGGTAAGTTATGACAACAACGCGATCATCAATCACAAATGACAACAGTTAGAAAATCATTTGTGTTTAGGTTTTCAGGTTAATGGTGTTTAGAACCAATAACCCCAACTAGTTAGGAAAAATTGATTAGGAACTCATTTCACTTTTACTGCCTCCGATTGAAAATATTTTATTAAAAAAATTTACTTTCTTACTCTCCCTCATCAAACAGTTATATGATTTTGGCTCCAGCTATTATGGCTGCTGAAAAACAACCCAAGAATGCCGCAGCCAAGTGTTTGGAATCTGTCGGCTTGGATTCCGATATGTACCGTATTGGTCACACCAAGGCACGCAAGCTATATGAAAAATATATATTCCCTACATATGTAGTGATCTCTCCCCGTCCCCCTTAAGTAGTCTTATCCATTTACTTATGTGTAGTAATTGTGAACCTTGGTGCTGTACCTTGTGTACTCTGGTTTTTTTGTATTTCACTTGTCTCTCTTTAAGGAGATTAATGTTTGTTGATGCTCCCTCTCTAGCTCTTTGGCGTTTACACTTTATGTTAGTGTTAACAATTGGAGTTGGAGAGAACGAGCTTGATTATTTTTATGTTTTCTGTAGAAATTGTTTTATACACTTATGTAGAATTTTAAACATTTTCACAAACACACCTAGTCCACATTCCCCCCCTCCCCTGTAAACGATTGGTTTAAATGTATATTTTTAAAAGAATTTAATAGTTAATGCACTTTTATTAACTACACATCTATACATACACATATTTGCACAGTTCCCATTAATACAAATACTTTAGAATTTTTATATACAGATTTAAAGAAGTTGTTACAGTGACCTTTAAAGGTCTTGGTTTTACACACTCTCACCGAATGTTTGCACTCTCACTTTATGTATATTTGTGTTTGTGTTTCACAGGTATCAAATTATTAATCCAGGTGGCATTGTAGGCGTTGCTGATATCAAGAAGCAATCTCAACTTATTCTTGAATCTACTCCTCTAGATCCCGATATGTATCGTATCGGCCATACCAAGGCATGATATTTGACTTATTTTATGATAACCGTTATATAAGAAATAAACGGTGTAAACTGAAATGTTGAGAATGATCAGGAATGTCTTTTGCATTTGTCTCTTTACTCTCTGGTTTGTGTCTTGTGCATGTGCGAAATGTTGATCTAGTTTTGACAGTCAACAACCACACCCACGTATACATTCATCATATTTGACTACAATTTATATATTTATGAACATTTTTTGAGCTAAATTATTCCTATACATATTTTTATTTTTTTTTGATTTGGTTTTATTTTTTTTTTTATTTACTGATTTATTATTTTTTCCCCCTTCCCACCATTAGTTACCAAATTTTGAATCCTAAGGGCATTAAGGACCTTGAAGATCCCAAAAAATGTTCCAAGATTCTCATTGAATCCACTGAATTGGACTCAGATCTTTACCGTCTGGGTAACACCAAGGCATGTTATCACAACAATAAATCTACTTTTCACTTGTCGCACAAAAACAAAGCAAACAAAAACACTATTGTAGAAATTTTTGCAAACATTACGAAACGAAGAGACCTTTTAAAGCACTAAAAAGTGTTGGTTTTCTTTCGTTATTAGTAGTTTTTTTAGACACCAAAGAGTTTCTTTAAACACTCGAACAGTGGAAACTCTAGTTTTTTTCTTATTTATAAACATCGACACTGTTGGACTTTCTATTAGACCTAGCCAAACGTTCTACTAACGTGGTCCTATAGAAATTAGGGTTGTATGCAATTTGTACTTCCCCTCCACTTTACACACCCTTACCATACACCATTTACATGAAATTGTAGTACATTTGATTTATTTTGTATCTCATTTATTTATTTATTTATTTTATTTAATTATTATTTAAACACTTTAATCACACCTCATTATTACACTATTGCCATTATGTAGTTACCAGATCCTTAACCCCAGAGGTATCAAGGGCGTTGATGATCCCAAGAAATGCACCAAGATCTTGATTGAATCCACTGAACTTGACGATGATCAATATCGTTTGGGTAACACTAAGGCATGCATCTCCAATTTTCATTAAAAAACCAATATACCGCTACTTCCCAAAACAATGAAAATTCTTCACACACACACACAAACCATAATTGTTATATTATTATACCTGCCTGCCTTTGTCTCTTTCTTTACCCCTATACCCCCTTAAAAAAAGGAAAAGTAGTTTGAAACAAGTTTGTAAACTTGCCAATACTACTGGGCCTAAAGCAATAAAATATTGTATGCCCCCTCCCACCTTAAACTTTTATTTACATTTATTTTGATTTTATTTAGTTAAGCCAAGAACCCTAAGGGCGAAAAAAAACCTTAGCAAAAAGGTCCTTACCACGCTCTGGGTTTCAGGTTCATTTTTATTATTTGTAGTTTTAGTAATTTATTTAATTTTTATTTTTTAATTTATTTAACACTAACTTTTTCTTTTTACACCTACACACACACTCGCATTAAATGTTTCCTTAATTTATCATGTGATCTTTGATAATAAAACCATGATCGCAAAACCAAATACAGCTACCAGATCATGTGTCCTAAACTGCTTAAGGGTGTTGATAAACCCATGAAGGCCACCGAAATTATTATTAAATACATTGATTTGCCAGAAGATCAATATCGTCTCGGTAACACCAAGGTATATAATTGACAATATACTTGCCAAACAAAAACAACAACAACAACAAGAACAAAAAATCAAATTCATAACATTTGTATATACTCTACAGCATTAGAATAATCAATAGAAACTAACCACTCATTATCAATAGTAGAAAAATACTAATAATATATATTATTAAATGTTGTGTTTCTTGTTCTGTTTCTATAATAACTTTCCTTAGAAACTCCCCTTAAAAGGGGGAGCATTTACTAAACCCTCTACAAATGAAAAAAAGTGTTTTTGAAGAATTAAGCTTAAGCCAAATAGAAAAATATGTTTCAGCAAAGTTAACTAAATATTGGATTAAGAAAGAGTTTAAATTATCAAAAACTTTGCTGGAACATAAAAAATATTGCTTACAAAATAACGTTAGATTACTAGATGTTAACATATTATTTATTTATCTTTCCCCAACAATTCCGCTTCTCGAAATTGTTGTTTCGTTGTTTTGTGCCTTTGAAATGTTTGCAAAATATATAGGTGTTCTTCCGTGCCGGTGTCTTGGGTCAAATGGAAGAATTCCGTGATGAACGTTTGGGCAAGATCATGTCCTGGATGCAAGCCTGGGCTCGCGGTTACTTGTCCCGTAAGGGCTTCAAGAAATTGCAAGAACAACGTGTTGCCCTCAAGGTTGTTCAACGCAACTTGCGCAAATACTTGCAATTGCGTACCTGGCCCTGGTACAAATTGTGGCAAAAGGTCAAGCCTTTGCTCAATGTATCCCGTGTTGAAGATGAAATTGCTGTAAGTATTCTATAAGAAATATTAAAAAATTTAAAATGAAGCTGTCAAGTTGTTGCTTAAGGAGCTGGTTACGTATTGGGTACTTCGACTGGTTTCGAATAGCTACACAAATCAAACTATTTGAGTGTAACAAATCATAAAATTTATTAATAATATTGAGGTGCTGGCTTGTTGCTTTAAATATGATTTGTCATATTATAATTCACTCAATTTCTATACACACACACTCTCAGAAAACTGTATTTCTCTAATGCAAAAGGAATTCTTTGCTGGCAACGCATTAATTAATATTTATATAGATTTTTTGTTTTCGAGTGTATTTAAAAACAAGACCCTCAAATATTTGAAATTTTCTCATGGCACTGCAAGAACAAATCATTTTTTTTTTCTTAAGCAGCTGTTGTGGCAAATAATATGCATTCACTTAATTATCAAATGGTTATTTCAATTACAATGTTTTTCTTTCCGATTTGCTAATTAAATATTAAAGATTTAAAAAAATATATATACAAAATTTATATTTAAATCTTAAGCCACCTACGCAATTTGAAAAATAGATGAATTTATCACTACATGATTTATTTCTGATGACTAAATTATTATTGATTTGGTTGGTGGCAAACAATTTTTTTATAAATCTATTTTAAGAGGCTCTACTCATTCACTATAAAATTTCCTAAATCCATAGTAAATATAAAATAATAAAAATGGCCTACATTCGCCTAATACTCACACACACACACACACACACATATATAGATTTTTATCTGGAATATTTTTTTCCGAAAATTTTAATTAATGAGTTAAGGAAATGTTATTTTTGTTTGGGCATAGCCAAGCAATTGCCTTAATAATTTATATTTTAGGAACATTTTGGCAGCAGAAGCCACTCGTATCCATACCACTACAAAAAAATATGTCTTGGCCAAAGTTGTATGGGTGTAATGAAATATTTATGGCCTAACCTCTGGTGATTTGTTGATCAAATCTGTATTCTTCTGTTAATTAATTAACAGAAGAAAACAAGTGTGCTGTTGTTCTTGCCCCTAGTAGTGGGTATGCCGCACCCAATTAACATAAACATGCAACTCTTTCATGCCACATTTTCCACTCAAAAAAAAGAGGTGCAAAAATAAACTTAACAATTTGTTTCAAAAGATGAGTAATTAATAATTACACACACACAGAAATAAATATACAAATTCCTTTTCAAAATGAAATTTAATAATTCTTTTCATAAATGTTTGTGTGTATATGTATTTCAATTGAATTCTAATAATTTACATTTCCATTGATGCTAAATGAGTAAAAGAGATGGCAGCAAATGAAATTGAAAAAACACACCTGTGTCAAATCGATCGTTTAGCATGATCGTTAAAGAAATTCTAAAAAATGATGAAGCATACCAAGTGTGCATAAAATATGAGTAAGTACTCAACACACACACACACACTCACACTTACATTATTCAATTCGATTTGATATAATTGTTGGGCGTTGCTAATTAAAATTAATTTGAATTATGAATTTGAAAATTCATCGAGCACTTTGCAATTGCAAAGCATTCCAGTTGTTGACCAGTAGCTAAACGGATCTAATAGTTACCTGGGCTAAAGCGAACATATAATATTCATATACTTCATCTAAACGATTTAAACGAACATCAAGCAACTATAGCTGCAGCAAATTTAAACGATTTAAATAATTTATTAAAATAAAAATCAATTCAATTAAAATAAAATAAAACTAAAAAGAAAATTTATTAAAAATCTCGAATAATAATTTATTAATAAAAAATGGCTGAAGATAAAAAAGTTAAAAAATCGAAAAAATCTGAAAAAAGTGAAAAATCTGAAGAGGTTGGTTCAGCTACACCACCAGCTGAAGCCAAACCTGATACTGCCAGTGCTGAGGAAACTCCAGCAGCTGCAGCAGCTGAAATAAAACCAGAAGAACCAGCTGCTGCCGAAACGACACCAGCTCCTTTACAAGAACCCGAAACAGCAGTGCCAACACCACTAGCTCCAACATCTGAATCCACTAATAAATCTTCTAATTCTGATTTACAGCGTCTTGAAGAGAAGGCTAAGAAGGCTGAAGAAGCTCATGCTGCCGAAGTTAAGGTACGCAAGGAATTGGAAGCCCTTAATGCTAAGTTGTTAGCTGAAAAGACTGCCTTGTTGGACTCCTTGTCTGGTGAAAAGGGTGCCTTGCAAGATTACCAAGAAAGATGCGCTAAACTCCAAGCTCAAAAGAACGACCTCGAAAACCAATTGCGCGTAAGTATTTTAAAATTTCCTAAAAAAAAAGAAAACAAGCAAACAAAAATTGTTAATGAATTGTGGAAATCAGTGAAGCAAATAACTTCATCCTCATAAAAATAATGCTCATCAAAAACTCAACGAACGGAAAAATTTTCATAATTTCTTAAAATTAAATTGAAAATGCTTTGATTTCCCAATAAAAATATTTATGGCAATTTTTAAGCTAAATATAGATTTTAGCCAATTCATATAATTCACTCACGACATTTTTTCATTTCATTATTTACCAATATATAGGACATCCAAGAGCGCTTGACTCAAGAGGAAGATGCCCGCAACCAATTGTTCCAACAGAAGAAGAAGGCTGACCAAGAAATCTCTGGCCTCAAGAAGGACATTGAAGACTTGGAATTAAACGTCCAAAAGGCCGAACAAGATAAGGCCACCAAGGACCATCAAATCCGCAACTTGAACGATGAAATCGCCCACCAAGACGAACTCATCAACAAGTTGAACAAGGAGAAGAAGATGCAAGGTGAAAGCAACCAGAAGACTGGTGAAGAACTCCAAGCTGCCGAAGACAAGATCAATCACTTGAACAAGGTCAAGGCTAAGTTGGAACAAACCTTGGATGAATTGGAAGACTCCTTGGAACGCGAGAAGAAATTGCGTGGTGATATCGAGAAATCCAAGCGCAAGGTTGAAGGTGACTTGAAACTTACCCAAGAAGCCGTCTCCGATTTGGAACGCAACAAGAAGGAATTGGAACAAACCATCCAACGCAAGGACAAGGAATTGTCCTCCATCACCGCCAAATTGGAAGATGAACAAGTTGTTGTTAGCAAGCACCAACGTCAAATCAAGGAATTGCAAGCCCGCATCGAAGAATTGGAAGAAGAAGTCGAAGCCGAACGTCAAGCTCGCGCCAAGGCTGAGAAACAACGTGCTGATTTGGCTCGCGAATTGGAGGAATTGGGTGAACGTCTTGAAGAAGCCGGTGGTGCTACTTCTGCCCAAATTGAACTCAACAAGAAGCGTGAAGCCGAACTCAGCAAATTGCGTCGTGACTTGGAAGAAGCCAACATTCAACACGAATCTACCTTGGCTAACTTGCGCAAGAAGCACAACGATGCTATCGCTGAAATGGCCGAACAAGTTGATCAACTCAACAAATTGAAGGCTAAGTAAGTATTCTAATCTCCTGAAATCTTTCTTTTCAGTTTGTTTCTTCCAAAGTTGTAGCTGTGGAGAGTATTTTTTGTACTGCCAGTCGTCTTTGTCTGTGTTGAACGTGTCTTAAATGTTTTTTGAAAACAAATATTAAAATTTTCTTAAAATTTCTCCCTATAATAACAGGGCTGAACACGATCGCCAGACTTGCCACAATGAGTTGAACCAAACTCGTTCTGCCTGCGATCAACTTGCTCGTGATAAGGTAATGAATCCTTTCGAGGATCATCACAAATATTGCACAAATTACACAATAAACCCCCTTCTTTGTACAAAACCTCCCAAAAATCACACACACACAAACAAAGTATGTTAAATTCCTTCAATTAAATTTAAAGAAATTTGAAAAGCGGCATTTCTCTCTTTCTCTACCGACGGCTACAAGATGGATTTCCAAGAAGCAACGTTTAACTTTGATTAACATTAAATATTTCCCCACACACACATTTAACACATTCTAACTAAAACAAAAACTTACTTTATCACCAATCTAGGGCTGAAAAGGAGAAGAACGAATACTACGGTCAATTGAACGATCTCCGCGCTGGTGTTGACCACATTACCAACGAGAAGGTATACATACATTTGACTCCTTTAATTAGAATCGAAAAAAAAAAACGCCGCTGTACATTTTTGCTGATTATTATTGTAGATTTGAGAGAGTCAGTTTGGGAATCTTATGGATTCTCGAACGAATCTCTGATAGCTCTGCTTTGAATCTATTGAATCTCAAGGACTTGTCTTGCACAAGACCTGTGATTTTAACATGTAGAATATTTGTGAAAATACTTTACTGCCGCACTAATCCTTGCCAAAATATGTAGAATATTCCTTGCTAACAAAAAACTAATTGTACATAGTACACACAATTGCCAAATACAAAATTACATTCTCCTGAATATTTCCATTCCTTACTAATTAATTATACCTTTATCAATCGTTTGCAATATAGGCTGCCCAAGAAAAGATTGCCAAGCAATTGCAACACACCCTCAACGAAGTCCAATCCAAATTGGATGAAACCAACAGAACCCTCAACGACTTCGATGCCGCCAAGAAGAAGCTTTCCATTGAAAACTCCGACCTCTTGCGCCAATTGGAAGAAGCCGAATCCCAAGTTTCCCAATTGTCCAAGATCAAGATCTCCCTCACCACTCAATTGGAAGATACCAAGCGTTTGGCTGATGAAGAAGCCCGCGAACGTGCCACTCTCTTGGGCAAATTCCGCAACTTGGAACACGACTTGGATAACCTCCGCGAACAAGTAGAAGAAGAAGCTGAAGGCAAGGCCGATTTGCAACGTCAACTCAGCAAGGCTAACGCTGAAGCTCAAATCTGGCGCAGCAAGTACGAATCTGATGGTGTTGCCCGCTCCGAAGAATTGGAAGAAGCCAAGAGGAAGTTGCAAGCTCGCTTGGCCGAAGCCGAGGAAACCATTGAATCCCTCAACCAAAAATGCATTGGCCTCGAAAAGACCAAGCAACGCTTGTCCACCGAAGTCGAAGATTTGCAATTGGAAGTCGACCGTGCCAACGCTATTGCCAACGCCGCCGAGAAGAAACAAAAGGCCTTCGACAAGATCATTGGCGAATGGAAACTCAAGGTTGACGATTTGGCTGCTGAACTCGATGCCTCCCAAAAGGAATGCCGCAACTACTCCACCGAATTGTTCCGTCTCAAGGGTGCCTACGAAGAAGGCCAAGAACAATTGGAAGCCGTCCGTCGTGAAAACAAGAACTTGGCTGATGAAGTTAAGGACTTGCTCGACCAAATCGGTGAAGGTGGCCGCAACATCCACGAAATCGAAAAGGCTCGCAAACGCTTGGAAGCCGAAAAGGATGAACTCCAAGCCGCCCTCGAAGAAGCTGAAGCTGCTTTGGAACAAGAAGAAAACAAGGTATTGCGCGCTCAATTGGAATTGTCTCAAGTTCGTCAAGAAATCGACCGCCGCATCCAAGAGAAGGAAGAAGAATTCGAAAACACCCGCAAGAACCACCAACGTGCTCTCGACTCCATGCAAGCCTCCCTCGAAGCCGAAGCCAAGGGTAAGGCTGAGGCCCTTCGCATGAAGAAGAAGTTGGAAGCCGACATCAACGAATTGGAAATTGCTTTGGATCACGCCAACAAGGTAAGTTTCTCAAAACACACACAGCTTCTCATATACGCAAGAGCTGTTCTTATTATGAAACCATTTTACTAAATACTTCTATTTTTTTTTCTCTATAATTAGGCTAACGCCGAGGCCCAAAAGAACATCAAACGCTACCAACAACAACTCAAGGACATCCAAACCGCCCTTGAAGAAGAACAAAGAGCTCGTGATGATGCCCGCGAACAATTGGGTATCTCTGAACGTCGTGCCAACGCCCTCCAAAACGAATTGGAAGAATCCCGCACCCTCCTCGAACAAGCTGATCGCGGTCGTCGCCAAGCCGAACAAGAATTGGCCGATGCCCACGAACAACTCAACGAAGTTTCCGCCCAAAACGCCTCCATCTCCGCTGCCAAGAGGAAATTGGAATCTGAACTCCAAACACTCCACTCTGATTTGGATGAATTGTTGAACGAAGCCAAGAACTCCGAAGAGAAGGCCAAGAAGGCTATGGTTGATGCTGCCCGTCTTGCTGATGAACTCCGCGCTGAACAAGACCACGCCCAAACCCAAGAGAAACTCAGAAAGGCCCTTGAACAACAAATCAAGGAATTGCAAGTCCGTTTGGATGAAGCTGAAGCCAACGCCCTCAAGGGTGGCAAGAAGGCTATCCAAAAATTGGAACAACGCGTCCGCGAATTGGAGAACGAATTGGATGGTGAACAAAGAAGACACGCTGATGCCCAAAAGAACCTCCGCAAATCCGAACGTCGCATTAAGGAATTGAGCTTCCAATCCGAAGAAGATCGCAAGAACCACGAACGTATGCAAGACTTGGTTGACAAACTCCAACAAAAGATCAAGACATACAAGAGGCAAATCGAAGAAGCCGAAGAAATCGCCGCCCTCAACTTGGCCAAATTCCGCAAAGCCCAACAAGAACTTGAAGAAGCCGAAGAACGTGCCGATTTGGCTGAACAAGCCATCAGCAAATTCCGTGCCAAGGGACGTGCCGGTTCCGTTGGTCGTGGTGCCAGCCCCGCGGTAAGTGTCCAAACCAAAATCATCCATCTCTAAATTCGAATGCTTTTTTATCAACTGCCAACCATTTGCCAAATAATAACGATCATTTTCTCTTTATTATTCTATTTCAAATCAAATCTCTTGCAATATTACCACATGCAGATTTAAATTACGCAAAATGGCACTGTAAATGATTCACACGGTCCACATAGAGATTCAATTAGCAAAAAAAAAAAAAAAGAGAAACTAGATCATAAGTAAAAGCTTTATGCATCTCTTTTCAAACAAAAGAAATGCAACATTCAACATTCAATTTATTACTTTAAACCAAATCGAAAAATATATTTAAAAAAGAAAAAAAAAACAAAAAAAAATAAACAACCAGCTTACAAAACCCAATCTATTTCATCACCAAAAGCATCAATCTCATCGCAATCAAAACAAAAAAAAAAAGAATAAAACAAAAAGAGTCATAGTCAGATCAGTAGAAATCGAGCTGAATTAGAAATATCTCTGCTTTTTTTATAACGATATAATATAATAATTTTATTATTATTACTACTACTATAATACTACTACAACAACAATTACTACTACTACTATTATAATTGTATATGTATGTGTGTGTGTACAACAACAATAGCCGGCAGCGTCTAAAGGTGGTCGCAAAAGTGTGCTGGACCAGTAAACAATCTTTCATTACATTTGTAAGTGACAAAGAGGCCACGAGGCCCACCTTTCTTTCTTTCAAATCCTGTACTCCCGAACCCAAATGAAAACAGCCAATGTTGCGTTGCGTGTCAAATCATTGAATGAATACACACATACTTGATACATATACATTGAATTATCACTACTTGCACTTGTAACGTGTTGAGTTGTTTGTTCTCCTCTCACCACCTTGTCTTTCACTCTCATTCTGCTGTTATGAGAAGTTCAGAGAAACAGAAAATGCAATTCATGATCCTCTATAAAAATCATTTATTTCACTCTCCAAAATTCGACTATTCGAGGAGAAATTTATTTCTCCTGACAATATTCCTCTCATTTTGAGTTTTGTATTGTAACGTATTCAGTAATATATTGTTGTTCTCTTGGTGATGTTTTTTTATTTCTCTCTTTGTTAAATCATGCATGCTTCATACTCTTTATCCTTGTGTTTATATATTTTATTTAATAAATTCGTTTTGTCTCTCTTCCCCTCTACAGCCCCGTGCTATGTCCGTGCGGCCACAATTGGACGGTATGGCTTTCCCACCAAGATTCGACCTTGCTCCCGAAGATTTCTAAATGCCATTAAAACATTTTAATTTATTTTATTAATACTATTTCATAATTATTTTATTTTACTTTAATTTATAAATATTTTACAACACTTTTTGTTTTTCTAATTAAAAAAAGAAATAAAAAACAATTTAAAAAATTTATTAAAAAAAAAAAACATCAACAACTATAAACAATCGAACGACGGGAGGATAAGAATGCACTTAGGCATATATATCACAACAACAAAAAAATCTAAAAAACCAAAAAAATATACTAATACTAGAGATAGTATCCAACTAAATGTATTTTGTAAAATACCAACATAAGAAGCCTAACAAGGACAAAACAAAAATGATGAAAAGTGGAAAGAAGAAAGAATGAATTTTCCTAGTGTAGTAACTTTCGCCATACATGCTCTCTGACATCAGAATACACAACCTTTACTCATATTGTTGTAAATGAAGAAAGAAAAGAAAAAAACAAGAAAAATTTTTAATTTTTTTATATATAAAATTATAATAATTTTTGTATTATGAAAAACATGACTTAAGCCCCGTCATAAAACTTAATACTACTCATACATATGTACGTTTAGGTTTAAATCTAGTTGTCTAGTTGTCTGTGTCGAAAGTTGAAAAAAGAGAAATTTATAAAAAAAAACCAAAAACACACATTTACTACACATCTTCAAATAAATAAGAATATTAAAAAAAAACAAAATAAAACCAATGAAATGTTATTTATTTATGTATTTATTGTAAAATGCACACTTTACACTCACACATACACATTGATATTTGACTGATATTGGAGATCGAACACATGCATTCATACAAAAGGACTCCATCCAGTTCATCAAATAACTTTTGCACATTTTACTTCTATTTCTACAATTCTCTCTCTCTCTTTTACACTTACTCTTACTCAATCACTCACTCAACATACAAAACACACAGAGACACAAACGCAAACACAAACAAACACCCTCATCTTATGGCGCTTATGTTTATGTTATTTTTTTAATTAATCAAACATTTAAATTTAAATAATTTAAAAATATACATAATAATGATAATATTTAAAATATAAAATAAATTAAAAGAAAGGAACAAGTATACAAAAAAGGAACAAAATAAATGTAAATCAATTAAAAAACAACAACATCAAGTCTTTCAATTAAAACAATGGGGTACGAACGGGAAACAAAAGGATTTTAAAAAATAAAGAATTGGTTTTATAGTTATATAAGTAGTAGGCTTCAATTAAATCCTGAAATGTCATCTACAGGATTGATAATCCCCCCCGAAAATTCTAATGGTACATTTTTTTGACAAAAGGCATATGCTGAACATCGGAACACTGCGATATCATTCTACACTGATGATTCAAAAACTGAAATCTGTACAAACCCATAACTTTTGGTATCCGTCAGATTGCCTCGTTTTTAGGCGCAAATTTACACTATTGATATGGTGGAGAAAAGGCTCCCAACTCCAACTTATAAGTTCAAATCTGACAATACACAACATGAGGTCATTCAGGGAAATTTAATTGCGATCTTTAATGTCTTACTATAAACCCCCGATAAAGGCATGGAACATAATCGACGAATGAACGAAAAACGAGACGCCACTCAGGGATCAGATCTACAAAAACGTAGAATCAGTTAAGTTGGTACATCTATCTATTCGCGATATATTCAAATTTGTTAAGATACGTTCAGCAGCTCTACAAGAAAGTTGAGATGCCCTAAGGTTTGCAGAAATATAATGTACTCGCCATTAAGTGCTACTAAACGGGTTAAATGTTATCAAGTTCGTGGTTACTCCATGCAAAAAGGAAGAGTGTTCTAAACTGACGCCGTGACATCTTTTCTTCCTTTTTATTGTTCAAAATTATGCAGTACTCTTTGAAGACAAGACTCGGATTCCCAACATGTGTGTCGTCTAAAGACCCCTAATTATTACTCTTAATCTCTCTATATGGAGACTTTTCATGAAGTAAGCTGACTTCGACACCTAAGTTCAGCCAGACATTACGGTTTATATTGAACAAGGACTTGCATTTTGTAAGAGAGTTAACGCACCTCTACTAACTAATTCACATACAGTTACACATTTGAATACTGTGATCAGGAACTTACTTAACGTTAACCTAAAACATATGACTATCAGTAACACCTGATATTATCTTATTCAACTATGCTCTCGTTAAACGTTCGCGGTGTTGGTGCTAAAGTATCAGCTAACTCCTTCACGATACGAAGCTCAATAAATAACATTTATATATATAGAGATGTACAGTATGCCAGGTAGTGAGAGCGAATATAATAGCACTCCACAACTCTCGACAAATACCCCTTGTCAATTTGAAGCCAAGAAGAAGAAAATGAACAAGAAGGAAAGGGCCAGAAAGTCTAGATATGCCAAAGTTAAATTTATTTTAGACAAGAATGCTACCAATGGCACTAACTGTGAGCGCGATGAGGAAGATCGCGTCTGATATTAATTTCATCGACCAAAAGACAATTGTTTTGTTAACATTGACTTCTATAATTTCAATGCCATAGTAAACACATTAAAACTAAGGTAATTAAGATTCTAGTGAAACCTGTTATAGAATTGATAAAGTAGGAACCTGTTCTCAAAATTATCGTGAACATTAGTTTTTTGCTAAAAAACGATTCTAGTAGAACCCCTTCTAAACGAACTGTTTCTAAAGGAACCTGTTGTTGAATTGATAGGTGGGAACCTGAGTTTAATTTATATGGGAGATGCCCGCTATTGATAGTTTACCCAAATGTGCATATGGATTTCAATGTTGAGATTTCTTTTATTTAATTAATATGGGTGGTGCCATGTCGCCTACAACACGTACAACATCATTCAGGTTTCTAGTTCCTATATTGTCCCAGATGTAAAAATTTAATTATTATGGGAGGGACCATGCTCCTATTGCTAGTCCGGTTATTATTCCGCAAATTGTTCACATTGTTTTCAGCATTGCTCGTTCAAAACTTGAGGATTCTCGCTATAATGGTTTCCCAGATATACGAATTTTTGTATTTAATTCATATGGGAGGTTCCACGCTACCATTATCCACCAATTTATTAGACAAATTTTAGCATTTTAGCTCCAAAAGTTTCCTTGAATGGGAGGGATCATGCCCCCGTCAGTTTAGTAGACAAATACTTACATGGGTGTCAAAATTGTATTTGCAAAATTTGAGCATTCTAGCTCCAATAGTTTCCCCGATATACGATTTTTTAATTTAATTCATATAGGAAGTACCATGCCCCTTTTTCTAGTCCGCCCATATTTGTCTTAAATATTCATATTGATATCTAAGTGGATCGGACGAAATTTGAGCACTCCAAATTTTATTGTTTCCCAGATATACGATATATTTGGTACTAACTTTATGTGGGGGATGATACGCCCACTATTTCTTATCCGCCCATTATTACACAAAATTTTTATTTTGTTATAGATTTCCAAATTTACATAATTTAGTATTGGCTAGCAATATAAGAGTGGGATGTGCCACACCCACTAATTCTAGTTCGCCAAATTTTCCCCGCGCATTCATATATATGTCCAAGATGTTTGTGCAAAATTCGAGGAATATAGACGTACCAGTTTTCGAGAAATACTACTTTTAATAGTTATTTAGTAAGAGGACATTCCAATTCCAAAATAAAAAGTAGCCTATTTTTGCTTCCAGGCATACAGAAACACACTGTGAAAATTTCCAGAAAATCGATTTAGCCGTATAGACGTATATAGACTTCAAACAAACATACATACATATATAAAAACACACATTAATTTTAATATATATAGAAGATAGATATAGATAAATATTATTGTGGACTTCTAATTGATAATTACACTTTTTATAACATTTATTATTTTTAAAACCTAAATTTAATTAACTAATCAAAGAAATTTAAAAAAAATTACTTAGAACCCGGAGCCTTAGGATTAGTTTCAATTCTCAATAACTGCTTGTGTTGACCAATAATATGTTCCAAATGATTAATTTCTCTTAATTCACATTTAAATTCCTCCAATGTTTCGTAAAGTACAGGATACAATTGAGGCAAAATACCATGATCTAATGTGGGGAATAAATGATGCAGAACATGATCACCAAAGTGGGTCAAGACCAAGAACTGAGAACCTTTAAGATCACCACGATCGATTATAGTATCGACTTGATAAAGACCCCAATCACGATCTTCACGATTGGCATCACCTTCATGGAATATTTCCGGATCATGATGGGCTGCATTTAAGCCAATAACACAGAAAGAAAAACTGGCTATTGCGGTGATAAAGATCCACTGACGCAAACACCAGAAAATGGAATAATTCGAACATAAATACATGGATAATGGGAGAGAAAGACATATTAAATCGTGCCAGTACATGATATTCGTCTTACGCAGGGAGTAAAAAATTCTGAAATTACAGGAAAAAAAAACAGTTAATCTGATAATATTAGTGAAACTTAGTAATTAAAGTACCTTGTTAGTATTTGCAGGAAAAATGCAATCATATAGGCAATCGGCTCAGTTACCCAGGATACATAACGCATCATTTTACTTTTTATATGTGGACTTGGCACCCAACACAAAAGTGGTTCAAACATTGATAGTTCCAGATCAATATAGGAATTTGGATAGATGTGATGTGACAGAGAGTGAGATATACGCCACGCTGTAAAGTTCATCATACTCAAATTGAAAGCATACATTTGCCAGTTGTCACGTTTGTGAAAGTAGTTGTGTGATACCACTGTGGTCCAAACTAGAGCTGCACCCGCTAATGCCATGAATACCAAACTATCGTATTTAGCACTGGCCATGGAAAAAATAAAGGTACTTAAGAGCAAACCCAAATGGATTGCCTGTAAAAAATTGGGGGAAAAATGTGAAATTAATTTGAATGATTTTAGCTGGATAAGTATTTAAATTTAAATGTAATTGGGCACTTCATTAATGTCCTTTATAAAAAAATCGGTCCATTTAGATTATCATTAAATATCCTATTAACATACCTATGCAGCAACGATTAATTTTGAATTCCCCCTAATATAAAGTTTTTCTAGGCTAGGTTAGGTTGATAGGAGGATGTATACTACATCAAATCCGAAGAAATACACCTAGGCCACTATCGGGCCTGTTGTGCGCTCCTTTTCATGAAAAAAAAATTAGTGTTATACAGGAATGTTATTTCCGGAATAACATCACTTCCAAGATACTTGGTTTTAACTTCCAAAGTTTCACAGTCCTCTCCCCATGCTCTACATTCGTCTGAATCCGCATGTCCAATTTTGCATAGACGTGCTCGTAATTCTGTGTGTCCACTCAGAATACGTACTATCATACTAACTTCAGACTTGAGGAGATTTTTCGTCTTGCTTTTGCCTGGAAGCTTGTGTTATGATTTGCCATTGATGCAATGGGTACTATTGATGGCACTGTCTTGTTGTAACATCCCTTCCAATTGGCACCTTCCCAATTTTTAATATGACAGCTTTAGAGGCGAAGTAAACCCTACCTTTATTCTTGGCAAGACTAGTCATGGAATTCTTGTCGATACCTATTACAAATAGAGTTCCCCAGGTTCTTCTTTCCTGTAAAAGGGATAAGATGACAACCTCATCAACATCACGCCCATGCTGAACTCGCAGCTCACGCTCTCTCAAATTCTATAAGATCAGACCATAATGAGCCTTGTCTCCCATATAAGGCCTGTATAACACAGGTCAACAAATTTTTAACCCAGAAATACTTTTTTAAAGGAGTGAGCAGCGCTCAATCACAGTACATTTTTTAGATATCACGTCCCTAATATCGAGAGATTACAACAGCGCGAAAACATCATTAATTATAAAATTTGTTATGTCGCCAGAAAGTCCAATGTGTAACATCTAACATCTTTCTTCTTACAGATATTGTTCTTGAAGTGGTAAAAAATCTCTTGTATTTGCTAAGATATCGTGTCTAATTTTTTGGAATTTATATTTGTTTCTAACTATAAGTTAAGAAATCTCTAAGTAGGAAGAAGATATACCGGATGATAAACCTTTCTTAAAGTAGACATTTTATAAATATAGATGTTTTCGCGTCTTGTAGCGTCTGAAATACGGCCAAAAAGGGGGTTTTTCAATATTAATGACACCATATCTGGAAAATATGATGTAATGGAGAATTTCTAAAGCCAAATTCGGATTCAGCATTGTTCAGACCTTTCTGGATTTAGATTTCTTTTTAATTCTGTTACCCTGAACACTCTGAATGTAGAATAATTGGTCTGTAAAACTCTAATAGTCTAATAGTCTTTTATAAAGAGATTTCGTTAAATTTTAAAAATCCCTATAGGACAACTTACATCCGAGATCTTCTTTGGTTTATTATCAATTGTTCTCATCTTCTCCGCCACCCTTTTCTTCAGAGTCTTATAGAAACCATTCTCATGCAGGGTCAGCGTGTATATTCTTGGTTTCGCAGCCTCGCGCACTTTATATTTTTCAATCATTTTAGCTGGAGCCGATGTCAAATGATGAGCTTCGAAAGCTTCGGTTATATCAAGACCTTTTGTTTCTCGTATCCAAAATTTACCACCCGGATGTTTATCAATGAAATCGGTAAAATCATATAAGGTATCATAAATACGCCAAAGACCTTCAGCCTCATCATCTTTGCGTTTGCCCTCTAACCAACTGTGAAATATTAATATTTGAAAAATGCATCCTTGTAATTGTTATCCTTGCGAGGAATTTTTACCTTTTAGTAGTCACTAAACTTGAATTTCTATATGTGGGAAATTTTGTAGCTATACTACATTTTTTCCATTCCTCGGTAACCATTTTTGTATTTTATTTATTTAATTCAATCAGGATTTGATTTAATAATATATTTTTTTTTCTAAATTGCACTTCACTTGGCTAATGATGTCTAGCCTGGAACTTTTTATAGGCACTGTAATCAACAAAATATGAACTTAAACTAATTTAGAATTATTATTTTGTTTTGATATTTATTCCTAATTATTTGTTAATCTCATAATATTTTAGATCTGTATTCATTATCTCTATTAATTAATGACAATTGTTAACATTATTTTGTTCGACACTACCTCCGTAAAATCTTGGCAAAATTTCTTTTTAGATTATAAAAATACGTAATTATTTTCTAAATATACAGTGGAATACAGCTAAAGAGAACAAGTTGTAGGAAATCCCATTAGAGAAATTTTCTAAATTTGTAACTTTCTGTTGGTGTTTCAGATTATGCAGATGTTTCGAAAATTAATAAAAAATCTTGAATTTCAATCCAAAATTTTACCATTACTATAAAAGTAATTAGTTTATAGCCGTGTTCAATTGTATTAAAGTTTTTCATATATCACTTTTGCGTTTGACACTTTGTTTATTAATAATGTTACACGAATAATTGCTATAAGTTTTATATAAATTTTTATTTACATTTTTATAATCCTTATCAATTGTAAATATATTCCGAAACATTCAGAATCACTTGTTATATGAATGTAATAAAAATATTATTACTTTATTTATTACTAACTATACCTAGTGTGCTTCGCTACCCTCATCGTAATGGAATAAAATAAATATTATATACATATACTTATTTGCAATACCAAAAAGTCCTCATTTATATAAGTTTGATTTTATGATTCTAGTCTGAATATTACAGACAATTAAAAAAAACAGTTGAAGAACAAAAAAGTACCAGACAGTGCCTTTTTACAGATTTTAATTAAATCCGGATGATGCATGTTTGATTTTCAACCGGAAATTCCTCGCATACAGATTATTATAAAATCAGGAAGCTGCGCGTCCAATTTTATGTTTTTAGGTTCAATATTATAAAAAATTCGAAAAGTATTAGTAAAAAAACAAAAAAGTACCAGAAAGTAAACTTTTTAAATTTTCGTTCAATCAAGATACTGCGTGTTTAATTTTATGTTTATATATTTAATATTTTAGAAAACTCAAAAAGTACCAGATGAAGTGCGAAAAAGTACCAAAAGTCCTCTTTTATTTTATTTCATGTTTCTAAGTTCAATATTATAGAAAATTCAAAAAGTACCAGTTAATGAACGAAAAATACCAGAAAATATTCCAGTTTAAATTTGCATTCACTCAAGTCCCTGATTGCTTAGTTTTATGCTTTTAGGTTCATTATAATAGTAAATTCAAATAGTACCAATTGAAGAACGAAAAAGTACCAAAAAGTCCAGTTTTATACGTTCTCACTTAATCAGGGTTGCACATGCTTAATTTCATGTTTCTAGGTTCAATATTATAAAAAAATCAAAAAGTACCAGTCGAAGAACGAAAAACTACTAAAAAAGTCCCCTTTTGTAGATTATAACTTACTCCGGGCTTTACATGTTTATTTTTATGTTTCTAGGTTTAATTTTATAGAAAACTCAAAAAGTACCAGTCGAAGTGCGATTAAAATCCAAAAAGTTCCCTTTTATAGATTCTCATTTATTCCAGGCTTTAAGTGCTTAATTTCATGTTCCTAAGCGAAAAGTCCCTTTATTATTAATTTCAAGTTTCGATTTCAATTTCATATTTAGTGTTTCTAAATCTAAAAATATTATATAAACTGGATCATTGTGTTTTTACCCCTTTTGGTACTTTTTTCCTCCCCATTAACGATACAAATTATGTTCCAAAAAGTTGCAACATCGTATTGGGAGCCCGTTATTATGTATTCATATGTATATGTTTTTATTAACTTTAAAAACAATGTTTTATGAAAAAAGTACCAAAAATAGGTACAATTTTCACCCCTTAAACGTCCGAATATCCAAAAAGTACTAAATTCAAATTTTTATTTTTTTGTCAAGTTATGAAGGAGTCAAAAATATTTTTTGTATGTTCACTGGTGCGAAAAAAGTACTAAAATACAGTTTTTGCCCGTTTATTCCCTAAAGGGGAAAAAAGTACCAGACACTTATTTTTTAAATGAACGACGATAAGCTTTAAACTGTTTTTGTATCTTTTCTAGTTTAGGAGATATGAGGTTACCGAATTTACCTGTTTTTACCCTTTTTTTACCCCCTAAACATTTGAATTTCCAAAAAGTGGGAGACCGACCTCCTGTCCAAATTTCAGCTCTTTAGCTTCAACCGTTTAGGCTGTGCGATAGTGAATCAGTCAGTCAGTAACGTTAGAATTTTATATAAGTATATAGATTAAATAATCACCAAAGTCTTTATTAGGGAGAGACATTGATTATGGACCAGACAGATGTTGTGGAAAAAGACAAAATTATTTTGATTATCGTTAAATTAATTTAAAAATTGGATTTTTAGCATAAAACCTGTTATCAGCATAATTTAATGAGAAACATTCCTACAATTTTTACGAACAAATTGCAAAATAAAATTTAGAAAGCAATTGTTGTCAATGGGGTAATAGACGCAGAAACAATTCATTCGACATACATTTTTATACAAAAATAATTAATTTTTTTAAATCAAAAAAATGGAATTTAAAATATTAATTGAACTACGCTAAATATTTGAAAAAGTTAAAAATATACATATATTTTCAATTAATTTCTAATAAAGGGCTAATAGTTCAAACACGCTTTATTTTAATGATCGCAGATTAATAATAAACATGAATGATATTTTAATTTGTACCTATTTATATAGATTGTTTATTTAAATCGATCATAAATTGTGTAAACAACATGCAAAATTCATCATTACTTAATAAGGGGTTAGTGGGAGATGACCAGGGCACCAATATATTTCAATATATTTCAAAGTGAATGGATCAAAGAAATTTTATACAAACGAACAAATATTTTATCAATCAGAAGCAATTCAATTAAAATGAAACAAGTAAGAATGTACAGTCGGGCATGGCCGACTGTATGATACTCTACACCAGAGCGTATGTTAAGAATGTGGATTATTTTTTAATAATAAAGCATTTAAGTTTTTCACCTTAACTCCGAAATATTTTAACAATTTATTGACAAAAAAGAGATTTTCCAAAAGCTGAGTTATGTGGGGGTAAGAGTAAATATGGGCCTCTTCTTACACATTTACGTTTACATTAAAGTTATTTATGAAGAATTTTATCGTGATACTAGTGTTTATAAGTAAATTTTGACCTTGATGTGATTTTCCGAAGGGGACTTTGTATGGAGACTAGGGCCAAATATGGACCGATCATTACGAAGATCGGGAGTATAATTTAGACGTATACAAAAAAACGTTATGCCGATTTTTTGTAGAGATACTAGAACATTTTACATAATTATGAGCTCAAAAGCCCTATTTAGGGTGTACGGTTGTAGGGGGGCTAGCCGAATTAACCATTTTCAACAGGCTTCGTCCCTGGGTCGAAAAAAGAGTGTGTAAAAGAGTGACTGACAGACAGACGGACTGACATAGCTTAATCGACTCAAAAAGGGATTCTGAGCCGATTGGTATACTTTATGTTGGGTACACTTAGTACCAATATTTTTGGGTGTTACAAATATCAGCACAAACGCACTATAGTTGTGTAGGGTATAGCGTATAAATACAACTTAACTTTCCATAGCAATCCTAATCGAATTCTTAAAAATAAATATTTTCTGAAATTACAATTACTTTGTATGAAACATCAACATTTGAAGACCTATACTTCGTAACCAGAAGAGAATTTTGAATTTTTGTGCATCTCGGAGGTTAAGCAACGGGGCAGTAATAGTCATGCTTGTACATGGATCGGCAAAAATTGTCAAATATTACATCTTGAGAACTTGAGTAAAGTGCTTGTAGATGGACCGGCAGAACCATGTACAAAAGTGGTCATCGACGAGTAAGAAACACAAAGGGGCGGTGATGAGTCGTCTAGTCAGCTCACCCAGTGGTTGAAAAAGAACCACGGTGAAATACGGCTAACACGGCAGGTGTTCACGTAAATCACTTCGACATCTTGTTCTCTCCATATGCTTTATATTCTACGAATTTGGTTTATCCTACCAATCTTAGGGTTCGTCTTAACATCTCTTAGGTTTCGCCGACCTATTACTCAATCAGTCAATTTGACTACCTCAAGTTTCTTTTATAGTAAGTACATTAGCTGTATCAATAATATCTTGACCATGATATCTCCTAATTTCCGGCATGTCCTATAACCACTTTTTTAAATTTCTGATTTCTTAACACTATCAGTCACCAAAATCGCCCAAGAAATTAGATTCAATGTAGTTGGGAATAAAACATAATGCGGTCTCGGTAGAGTCCATTCTTAGGGCGAATTTAAGGCCTCCTCGGTACTACTACATAAATAATTTTAATCTTTGCCCCATGTGTTTCGTCTACTTTGAATAATGGTCTTTTTCTGATAGTTATATCATACAGCTCGCAGGTTAACCATCTAATTCCTCAACAAGTGGTTAGTCCAACACATGCGAAAATAGTCTAAGGTTTGGATAAGATCCTTTTGTATTTTCGCTCACTATGTGAGTGAAATTATTCCACAACAGACTACGTTACAAACAAAACCGTTTAGTACGGTTACGGTTACGGTTAAAGCAGATGGAGTGGATTTAACTGGCAGCCGCAACCACGAATATATTAAAATCAAAATATCCTGATACATTTCGAGAAATGGACCTGCCTGTCAATTGGCCTCCAAGGTCGTGCGATTTGACACATCTCGATTATTTTCTGTGGGTTCACATAAAATCACTAGTTTATTCTAGTGATAACAATGTTTGTGTTATTTATCGTATGATCGAAAAAGTGGATAAAATTGGATGTCCAGTTAATGCCATTTACACAGTCCGACAAATTTTGAAAAAACTCGAAACGCTGAGACCAAGTTAGACGTTTCTAAAGGATTGAGTCGTATTGAATCCGAAACTGATTTTCTCCATCACATCTGGGATTTGAGATATCGAGTCCTGAAATTTGAAAAAAAACTCAATTTTTGGCCCTTTTTGAGACGTTATAACATCGCCAAGACAACTTTATTTATAAAATTTTGTATGCCATCTGAAAGTCCATTCTGTCAGCTTTAACATACATATTTTTAGAAAAATTTATTTTTTGTGTTTCAATCACTATAGGGCCTAAAAAACACATCGTGTAAAAGTACCCCAAACTGGCACTGGCTAAGAACATAACCATCAATTGGTTTAGGAATTAGATTTCAAATAAAATTCATAAATTTGTTCACAGCACTTTAATTGCCAACGACCATTAATGATGTTAGTATCTGTCAGTGCTCATTCTCAATATTAAGAATGTTTTTTCGAATGTATGATAAACATTTTTGTGTTTATACAAATATTTATATGAAGATTTGTTTCTTTATTCATTATTAATCTTTCTTTTTAGTCTCCTAAATAATAAAACGAAGCTTTATCAAAAGAAATAAATAAAAATAATATTTAAGTATGTATTTGGTAGACACACACGCTCGTATGTGACGAATATTTAATTCTCCCCAGAACTCTGGTTTTCGATCAAGCAAAACAATCAGTACTTTGTGTGTAAACAAACTAGAAACATTGTTTTCTGAATACTCGATCGGTTCAAACGAGCGACGAAGAGTTAATGCTCCCAACCGGCGAAACAGCAAAAAAATAAAACAATAATTTAGATTAAACATGAATGACCTCTCTAGTTAATGAATTTATTAAAATATATATAGTTGTGTTGTTGTGAAACGAAATATTGTTGAAAATACTCACATGAAGTTATCGAATTTGTGGAAAGTTTTATTTAAAAGAAAAAAATCGAAAATGTCTAAAGTAAATAAGGAAAAATCTAGCAATAAATTCACAGATGATTGGAGGCGTTCGAATATTTCTAGGACAATTCCATCATATAGAAATCATCCATTTATAACAACTGAAAGGTAAAGGAAAATTATTTATATTTGTTATTTGTTAATCTGGTGATTTTTTTAATTATTAACAACTTGCATTAAATAATACAAAAAAATATATAAAATATTAAATTACTTAGTTGTTAGACGATTATATTTAATATGATATGTATTAATTAAAATTCAAGTGGAAAATTGCGAAATGGAATATTTTTGGAATTTTTATATTCAAAACATTTCTGCGCAATATGTTAAACAAAAAGATTTACGGCCATAATAAAATTTAGTTATTTTATAATCAATCAAAAGCTCAAAAGAACTTATTGGCCTTAAAAAAACTTTAGTCTAATTTTTTTGGTAACAACATATATTTTGACATACTTATAAGACTCTCTCCATTCTCAGTTAGATACAAGATTCTGCTCCACTGTGCAGCGATACAGTAATATAGTTTGTAGGTCTACTTTAATAGATCACAATCCCAAAACAAAAAATAAACAAATTTCTAAAATGAATAAATTAACTGTTATGCGACTAAATAGAAGATTCTTCGTAAAACTGTAAAGAGTGGTTCTAAAAGAGTTTTTCTATTACACTATGCTATGCTTACACGGTTGTCAGTTCATTACAATGTTGTCAGAAAAATGTTTAGTGAATGTCTAATAAAGGCTTGTACAAGACAAAATTTGTGAAAAAAAATGTCGTGTGCTTATAATGGCGCACACGATATTTTTTTAACAAATTGTTGTTTTCTTTGCAACGTTGTCAGAAAAAGGATTGGCAGTACATTATAAAACAATAATATTGTCAGACATCTGACAATCGTGTAAACACATTACGTTGCCATTGCCAGATCTGACAATTTTGGTTGTTTTCAATTTTTAAATTATATATATTGGCAACACTATGCATTAAAAGAAGTTAAATATATACATATTTATGTACATACTAGCTATACCCAGTGTGCTTTGCTACCCTAAAAGGAATATGTATAAATAAATACCAGATTTATTATATGTTACATATAAAAGATGTCAAGCAAATTATTGCAAGTTCGCCAGTTTCTATCCATCGCCAATTTCTATCTATCTACAAAAAATTTGAATAATATAAGAGTTTCCAAGATGCACGAAATTTTGTATTTAATTCATATATGTGGTGCCAAGCCCCCCATTGAAAGTCCGCCCGTTATTCTCTAAATGTTCACATGAATGTTAAAGTTCTTCATGTAAAATTTGAAGATTCTAGCTCTAATAGTTTCTCAGATATACGAATTTAATTCATGTGGGGGCTTCAAGCCCCCCGGATGAAAGTCCGCCCTTTTTCCTCCAAAATATTCAGATGAATATTAAAATAATTTGTTCAAAATTTGAAGAATCTAGTTCTATTAGTTTCCCAGTTAAACGAAATTTTGTATTTAATTCATATGGGAGGTACCAAGTAACCCATTGGAAGTCCGCCCGTTATACTCTAAATGTTCAGGTGAATGTCAAAGTTCTTCAAGTAAAATTTAATGATTCTAGCTCTAATTGTTTCTCAGATATACGAATTTTTCTATTTTATTCATATGGGGGCTCCAAGCCCCCCAGATGAAAGTCCGCTCTTTTTTCCTTAAAAATGTTCAGATGAATATTAAAGTTCTTCGTGCAAAATTTTAAGAATTTAGTTCTATTAGTTTCCCAGATAAACGAATTTTTGTTTTTAATTAATATGGGAGGTGCCGCTCCTCTCATGGGTAGTCCGCCAATTTTTTACCCAAAATGTTTATATGGATGTTAAAGTTCTTTGTGCAAAATTTTAAGAATTTAGTTCTATTAGTTTCCCAGATAAACGAATTTTTGTATTTAATTAATATAGGAGGTGCCGCTCCCCTCATGGGTAGTCCGCCAATTTATTACCCAAAATGTTTATATGGATGTTAAAGTTCTTCGTGCTAAATTTTAAGAATTTAGTTCTATTAGTTTCCCAGATAAACGAATTTTTGTATTTAATTTATATGGGAGGTACCACGCCCCCTAATGCTAGTCCGCCTACTTTTTGTCCTAAATGATCATATTGACACTAAAATGGCTCCGACAAAATTTGAGGACTCTAACTGTTATATTATCTAAAATATACGGATTTTATATTTTCTTAATGTGGGCGTGGCTCATCGCCACTTGAAATTTCGAAATAAAAAGTAGCCTATTACCTATTCCAGACATGCAGGAATATGCTGTGAAAATTTCCAAGAAAATCGGTCAGCCGTTTAGTAGTTATAACGTTCAAACATACAAACATAACAAACAAACACACATTCATTTTATATATATAGATATTACTAGGTATACCCAGGTACTTTGCTCAGCGTCGTTAGTAGTTTTAGTTACGTAGTTAGTACAAGTTAGTTAGTACTTAGTTAGTTACTAGTTAATACAATTAGTAAGTTCGTACAGTCATTTGTTATTAATAGAGTTAGTTATAGTATACCCAGTTGTATTTGCTACCCAGTTAGTAGTTAGTAGTAGTTAGCAGTAGTTTTAGGTTAGTTAGTTAGTTAGTTAGTTAGTTAGTTAGTTAGTTAGTTAGTTAGTTAGTTAGTTAGTTAGTTAGTTAGTTAGTTAGTTAGTTAGTTAGTTAGTTAGTTAGTTAGTTAGTTAGTTAGTTAGTTAGTAGTTAGTTAGTTAGTTAGTTAGTTAGTAGTTAGTTAGTTAGTTAGTTAGTTAGTTAGTTAGTTAGTTAGTTAGTTAGTTAGTTAGTTAGTTAGTTAGTTAGTTAGTTAGTTAGTTAGTTAGTTAGTTAGTTAGTTAGTTAGTAGTTAGTTAGTTAGTTAGTTAGTTAGTTAGTTAGTTAGTTAGTTAGTTAGTTAGTTAGTTAGTTAGTTAGTTAGTTAGTTAGTTAGTTAGTTAGTTAGTTAGTTAGTTAGTTAGTTAGTTAGTTAGTTAGTTAGTTAGTTAGTTAGTTAGTTAGTTAGTTAGTTAGTTAGTTAGTTAGTTAGTTAGTTAGTTAGTTAGTTAGTTAGTTAGTTAGTTAGTTAGTTAGTAGTTAGTTAGTTAGTTAGTTAGTTAGTAGTTAGTTAGTTAGTTAGTAGTTAGTTAGTTAGTTAGTTAGTTAGTTAGTTAGTTAGTTAGTTAGTTAGTTAGTTAGTTAGTTAGTTAGTTAGTTAGTTAGTTAGTTAGTTAGTAGTTAGTTAGTTAGTTAGTTAGTTAGTTAGTTAGTTAGTTAGTTAGTTAGTTAGTTAGTTAGTTAGTTAGTTAGTTAGTTAGTTAGTTAGTTAGTTAGTTAGTAGTTAGTTAGTTAGTTAGTTAGTTAGTTAGTTAGTTAGTAGTTAGTTAGTTAGTTAGTTAGTTAGTAGTTAGTTAGTTAGTTAGTTAGTTAGTTAGTTAGTTAGTTAGTTAGTTAGTTAGTTAGTTAGTTAGTTAGTTAGTTAGTTAGTTAGTTAGTTAGTTAGTTAGTTAGTTAGTTAGTTAGTTAGTTAGTTAGTTAGTTAGTTAGTTAGTTAGTTAGTTAGTTAGTTAGTTAGTTAGTTAGTTAGTTAGTTAGTTAGTTAGTTAGTTAGTTAGTTAGTTAGTTAGTTAGTTAGTAGTTAGTTAGTTAGTTAGTTAGTTAGTTAGTTAGTTAGTAGTTAGTTAGTAGTTAGTTAGTTAGTAGTTAGTTAGTAGTAGTAGTTAGTTAGTTAGTTAGTTAGTAGTTAGGCCCGATAGAGGCCTAGGTGTATTACGAATTTGAAGATTCTAACTATAATAGTTTTCCAGTTACATATGGGAGGTACCAAGCTCCCCATTTAAAGTCTCTAAATGTTCACTTGATTGTCAAAGTTTATCATGCAAGTAGAATATACGAATTTTTGTATTTAATTCATACAAAGTTTGCTAGTCCCCTAATCAAAATCCGCCCATTTTTTCCAAAATGGTCAGATAAATATTCAAATTCTTCGTGCAAAATTTTAAGAGTCTAACACTATTAATATCCCAGATAGACGTATTTTTGCATATAATTCATATGGGTGGTGCCAAGCCCATCATTGGTAATCCACCAATTTATTACCCAAAATGTTTACATGGATGTTAAAGTTCTTCATGCTAAATTTTAGGGTTCTAACCCTAATAGTTTCCCAGATAAACAAATTTTCGTATTTAATTCATATTAAATACGCCCACAAATAGTGCGCCCACTTTTTGTCTTAAATACTATATTTAATATTTTGTTCACATGGAGGGTGCCACGCCCACTATAGCCATTCCGCCCATTTTATCCACAACTATTCTTATGGATGTCAAAGTTGACCTAAAACATTTTAGGTCTCTAGCTGTTGCAATTTCTGAGATATACAACTTTTAATATGTAGGCGTGGCTCCTCGCCCACTTGAAAGAAGCTTATAACTACTTTCAGACATACAGAAATACACTGTGAAAATTTCAAGAAAAACGGTTTTGCAGTTAAGTCTTCTATAAACTTCAAACATACAAACAAACACAAAAAAGTAGGCTACATGTGGAGGGCATTTAAGATTCGGCATAGCCGAATATAACACTTTAACTTGTTTTTAAAATTTGTTTATTGTTTTTAATATCTGTTATTATTTTAAGTTATTTATACTGAAGCGTACTTTTGTACTGTAATTTTTTAGATTAAAATTATCAAGTTGATTGTTAACAACATTATGGGACTACTTCGTATCTATGTTATTTACAAGTACATACAAAGAGTATAATAAATGAATTGATAAACAATTAAAATTTAAATACAAACTCACCTTTATTGAAGCTATTTATTTCAAACAAGTTTTAATTATATTTATATCAGTAATAACAAGCTTGTTTTAAAGCCTAATATTTAAAACCGTGATGTTTTAAAACAACATACCGGCACTAACATGTTCTTCAATACTTAAGGTCTAGTAGTCTAGGCCCCATCATTTTCTATTAACCAGTTTTGAATAGCAGAAAGAAAATTTAAAATATTATTTTTCAATACCAAACTCTTTGATCAAAACTGAATATTTCGGAAAATTGTCATACGTCATGCTTTAAAACACAAACTGCTACAGATGTAACCGTTCTAAAGTATAGGGTCCATTTACGAACAAACTTATTGAATACCATGGAAAATCGATTAATATCTATTAAGCTTTTAAACGATTATTTAATTTATATTAAATCCATTTGCACTCACATTATTCATAATCTCTTGCAGCTGGTTAGAGGGCAAACACATTGACGATGAGGCTGAAGGACTGTGGCGTATCTACGATACCTTATACGATTTTACACCCTTCATTTCTAAACATCCGGGAGGTTCATTCTGGTTAGAAAAAACCAAAGGTACCGATATTACAGAACCATTTGAGACACATCACATTAAGGGAATTTCTCCACTACTATTGCAAAAGTATAAAATACGTGAGGCATTGAAACCAAGAAATTACACCTTCACCATGCATGAAAAAGGCTTTTATAAAACACTTAAAAGTCGAGTCGCTGAAACACTAAAGGATTTAGATTATACACCCGTTGAAAAGTCAAATGTAAGTATAGAAATCAGGCATTGAAAATTTAGTACTATAGTACTTTTTTCAGTACTTTTTGGATATCGTAAGATATCCAAAAGTACTTATAAACTTTTGGTATATAGTCCACTACGTAGTCAATAGACCAGTTTTTAATCTACTCTAGTCTAAAGTATAGCCTAGTCTAAAATTTATTATTTAGTCTAGTCCATAGTATAGTCTATTGTATAGTCTATAGTCTAGTCTATAGTCTAGTCTATAGTCTAGTCTATAGTCTAGTCTATAGTCTAGTCTATAGTCTAGTCTATAGTCTAGTCTATAGTCTAGTCTATAGTCTAGTCTATAGTCTAGTCTATAGTCTAGTCTATAGTCTAGTCTATAGTCTAGTCTATAGTCTAGTCTATAGTCTAGTCTATAGTCTAGTCTATAGTCTAGTCTATAGTCTAGTCTATAGTCTAGTCTATAGTCTAGTCTATAGTCTAGTCTATAGTCTAGTCTATAGTCTAGTCTATAGTCTAGTCTATAGTCTAGTCTATAGTCTAGTCTATAGTCTAGTCTATAGTCAGTCTAGTCTATAGTCTAGTCTATAGTCTAGTCTATAGTCTAGTCTATAGTCTAGTCTATAGTCTAGTCTATAGTCTAGTCTATAGTCTAGTCTATAGTCTAGTCTATAGTCTAGTCTAGTCTAGTCTATAGTCTAGTCCAGTCTATAGTGTAGTCTATAGTGTAGTCTATATTCCAGTCTAGAGCTTAGTATATAGTCTAGTATTTTCTTTTGATATGGGTGCTGAATCTTCATAGATATGAATTATAATATATATAATACATTATGTGAAATTCAACTGTTTCCTACGGAATTGCTCATAGGTACTACTTCGCAGATTGTATAGTCTAGTCTACAGCGAAGTCCACAGTATAGTCTACAGCCCAGTCTATAGTCTAGTCCATAGTCTAATCTATAGCCTAGCTTATAATCTAGTCTAAAATTTAGAATACAGTCTAGTCTATAATCTGTAGTTTTGTCTTTAGTCTAGGTATGTAGACTAGTCTGTACGATATAGTCTAGTCTAGAGTATAGCGGATGATTAGTTTAGTACTTTGGAACCTATATATAAGTTAGTACTATTTCAAAATTTAAATTTTTCATGCCTAATAGAAATGGTGTACCTATTTACTAAAGATTTAATATTATTTCTTCTATTGCCAGTTATTCCATTTAACTCTTCTGATCTCCACATTAGTGTGTTCCATACTATCAGCCCTTAATGCTGGTGTAATATTTGAACTTATTGCGGCTTTATCTCTATGTTGGCTGAGTACTTCTGCTCATAATTATTTTCACCAAAAAGATAATTGGCAGATGTATACTTTTAATTTTACACTAATGAATTTTGCCGAATGGCGCATTTCGCATGCGATATCTCATCATGTTTATACTAATTCACTATACGACTTGGAAATGTCTTTGTTTGAACCCTTCTTATGTTGGATTCCCAATGAACATATTTCCTCCAAAGTTAAACGAATTTTATCGGTGATAATACAGCCCATATTTTATGTTGCCATATTTCCCTTCCACTTCATACAAAGGTGAGTCCAAAATAAGCAACAAAATTAAGAAAATAATTTATTTTCCATAATTCTCTCTTTCAGACTATTACGTTCTGTTTTTGTAAAAAATGAACTATTGTGGCATGATGTTATCGGTTTCTCTTTACCTCTCTTAATGCTTATTTGCTCCAACTCTTCTTTAACAAATGTTTTACTGCATTGGTCTCGTATTATCGCTATCGGTAGTTTTCTATTCGGTTTAATTGGTCTTAATGCTGCCCATCATACACCAACTATTTATCATGATGGTGATGCCAATCGTAAAGATCGCGATTGGGGCCTTTATCAATTGGATACTGTTATAGATCGTGGTGATATTAAGGGATCTCAATTTATGGTTCTTACTCATTTTGGTGAACATGCTTTACATCATTTATTTCCCACTCTGGATCATGGTGTTCTACCACAACTGTACCCAGTGTTTAGAAAAACACTTGAAGAATTTAAAGAAGAGCTGCGGGAGTGTACATTTTTGGAACACATTATTGGTCAAAATAAGCAGTTGTTGAGAACGAAACCGAATCCAGTACCACCATGCGAAAGAAATAAGAAAAGTAATTAAGAGAAGAATTAAGTGTCTATTGGGGATGTCAGAAAAACGGTTAAGGTGTGATAAAAATAAATTATTTTTATAAAAAATTGTAACTGTTATTTAATTTAAAAGTACCCAGCAAAAACTGGGTAATGCTTTCAATTGTAATTACTTACCTATCAGCATACTTTTTAATGACTACTTCAACTTCAGGTCAATATTATGTACTTTAAGTTTTTCATGGCAAAATCACATTCAAGTCATTTGTCATAGAATTTTTATAAATCGTAATTTTTATGTTTTTTAACCTCCCTAATGTCTGTTATTGATTAATTACATTTGTAAAATCTCATTTAAATTACACATGTGAGCTAATGAACGCTGGACAGAAGAACATGAAACAAGCAAACAGTCGTTATACCGCGTTCACACGAAGCAATTATTCTTTATTCAATCCCCAATTACGAACTGAATTTAAACAAAATTTCAGCTGCGAATCACTTACGAATTACGAATGAATGAGTGTCATCTTTAAGTTATATAGGGTATTAATCATAATCAGCTGTTTGTTTTTATTTGTTGGAGACAAATTATAATAAAAAAAATAATAAATACATATTCCAAAAAATAACAAAATAACGAATGAAAAAATCTAATTACGAATGTGGCGTGAAAACAGCGTATTGTATTGTAATTCGAAGGCAGAATTAAGTAATTCAACTGTTCGTGTGAACATGGTAATAGCTATTATATTTTTAATTAAAGTATTTTTTTTATTTTAATTGAAAACAAATCGAAACAAATAAGGAAGTCTAATCGGTTGATTAAAATTATAATTTAAAATCGAACAACAAGATAGAAAGCATAAGTGTGATCCGCCATATTATACAGAAGAGTTAGAACTAAGGGATTTTATAATTTGGAATATTAAACAAATTAAAACAACATTTATGTTTTAATTTGTTTCTGAATTTAAAAAATATCAACCATTTTTTCAAATGTCAACTATTCGAAACCCGGTTTTTGGAAAATGTCGAATAATTGACCACCCTATTACCCTAGACCCTAGAGTAGAGTATAAAAATACTAAGCAAGTATATAATTAAATAATTTTATACAAAATTTAAATGTAGCTAATAAAAAATTATGCATATTTATAGTCGGACAGCTCCGACCATATTATACCCTACAGCAGTGAGTATGTTAAGGTGGATTTAAGTTCTTTTTTACCTTAATTCCGAAATATTTGAACTACTTGTTGATCAAAAAAAAGGGGTTATATGGAGGCAAAGGTAAATAGTAACACCGTCGTACTAGGTTTATAAGTGAATTATTAACCTTCAAGTCATTTTCTCAAGGGGACTAGTGTGGCCCGATCGATACGAAAATCGGTTGTATTATTTAGACTTATACATATATGTGTAACTAATTTGTGGCGATTTTTGTAGAGATACTAAAACATTTAACACAATTATGAGAGTATAATTCGGTGTGACGGTTACATGGGGGCTATGTAAAATAATGGAACGATTTCAACAGTTTTCAGTAGACTTCGACCTTGCGTCAAGTGCCAAATTATCTAAAAATTGCGAAATGTAATGTGCGCACAAGGTTTACATGGACACACAGCCAGACAGGCATAGCTTTATCGACTCAAAAAGTGATTCTGAGCCGATTGGTATACTTTAAGGGTATAAGACCCATTTATTTGGGAATTACAAACTCAGCATAATATATTACGCTTGTATTCAAAAAGTTATTAATCGCTTATTTATGGTTTATTATGCAGTTTTTCTCAAACAAAATTCCTGTAATAAATCATCAATAACTTTATTAATCACTTATGGATATAGTGATTAATGTTTTGACACTAGCCTTTATTGATTATAATATAATTATTTTGAAAAAAAAAAAATATACAAGTCATTTTAAAATTAAGATACAAGTTATAAACAAAATAGTATTTTTCAAAACAATTACTAAATTTTCATCATTTCCAATTTAAAAACCACAACGATAAGATAAATTTCTCACAATGACAGTAATTATTAATCTACAACTACTTATTAGAAATAAGTAAGCAATTATGGTTGACCATAGCTGACCATACGATACCCTACATCAATGTTTCGGAGACATTTTTCAAGTTAAATTTAGGAAGAAGGGCTAATAGGGGAAGTAGGTTTTATAATGGAGGGATGATAAAAATTATTTAGTTTTAAAAACTATATTATATTTTAGTAATGTAGGGTGTAAAATTGATCGTAGTAACAATTAATTTATATTTGCATTTATAACACACATATATGTACAATGTATTTGTAATGTTATTGGAGTCATTTTCCTAAAATGTAAAAATGAGAAAGAGTGTTAGAAATATAGAGAGAAGAGAGTCTCTATGTATAGAACTGATTAGATAAACAATTAATAAAGAGATTAAATACTGGTACGTAATATTTAGTCGGTGATATGTTCGACATTTGGATACCCTTAATTAAAACTTAAATAATTAACTCCCCTACTGATAAAGTCATTTTAAATTCTACAAAGATTTGTGCAACAAAATTTAAAAACAAAATATATTTCATAAATTTAAAAAAAAAATGAATCAGGCAAAAATTAAGATAACGACAAATTTAAAAACTTCCTAAAAAACTGTATTTATTATTATGCAAATGTCTACCAAAGCCGATGACAATACTATAGCTACAATAATAGTACGTGAGATTAATTTAAAAATTTTATATTTCTCAATTGGACACTTGCTATACGAATGCAATTATTGAATGAGAAATTTCAGTTTATTACAATAAGTCGAAAACACAACAACCACGGACTGCAATGGGTCCGGAAAAAGCAACGTTTTTAACACATCTTCTGATAGTGTGTGTGACATGGCAAATTGGTCAAGTGGATTCGGCCAATATATTGGGCCTGTTTACTAGTCATAGTCCCTCGCATTTAATAGTTCATATGTCAGTGGCTAAAGCTTTGGCGGAAAAAGGTCACAATGTAACCGTAGTAGCGTCTCAAGTACCCAAAGTTAAACACGATAAAATTCACTTAATCATCATACCACCTACCGAAGAGCATGAGCAACTACTCAGCAAGGAAGTTTCTGGAATGGCTTTAAAGAAAAATAACATTTTTACCACCATCGGTAACTTTTTCGGCTCGTTAAAACTGCTTATCGATATGCAAGCGGACATATTAAAACATCCCCGTTTTACGGCACTTTACGAAAATCCTGATACAAAATTTGATTTGGTCATAATGGGTTATTTTATGAATTCATTTGAATATGGTGTAGCAGCTAAATTTAAAGCTCCTTTAGTTATTAGTTGGAGTGGCTCTTCTATGCTATTGAGCGATATCATGGTAGGTAATCCCAGTGAAGAGTCTTATGTACCGGGTATGAATATGGCCGTTAAACTTGGTGAAAAAATGACATTTTTGGAACGACTTCAAAATTTATTTTCAAACTTATTCTTTAGAATCGTAAAAGAACTGCTCGATATTCGTATGCGTTCCTTTTACCGGTAAGTATGATTATCTGCTTTCAGAAGAACATATAATTATTTGCATTATTTATTTTTATAGTGATTTGTTCCCCACTGACGGTTCATTTCCCAGTTTAAGTGAAATGGAGAAGAATATATCATTGGTATTTTGCAATGGACACTTTAGCGAGGGTCCTATTAGACCCAATGTACCAGCTGTTGTAGAAATTGGTGGTATACAAGTCAAGGATACCCCCGATCCACTACCCGAGGTAAGTGAAGAATAATCTCAAGAAGTTAAAGCCAATAACAAATGAATTTCTTTTAGGACATTGCTAAATTTCTAGATAGTGCCAATGAAACCGGTGCCATACTTTTCAGTTTAGGTTCCAATCTCCAAGGTTCCAGCATTAAACCCGAAACTGCCACTCACATTTTCAATGTCTTGTCAAAACTAAAACAAAAAGTAGTTTGGAAATGGGAAGATTTAAAAAATACTCCTGGAAAATCCGACAATATTCTATACAAAAAATGGATGCCACAAGATGATATTTTGGCACATCCAAATCTCAAATTGTTCATCACACATGCTGGTAAGGGAGGCGTAGCTGAGGCTCAATATCATGGTGTTCCCATGGTGGCTTTACCCGTTTTTGCGGATCAGCATGGCAATGCTATGAAAATGGTTGCCAATGGCTATGGCCAATATTTGGAGTTGCTAACACTTACTGAAGATCCCTTCAGACAGACTATCTTGGATGTCCTAAACAATCCACAGTATAGGGAAAATGTTAAACGATTTTCACAACTTTATCGTGATCGTCCTCTAACAGCACGTGAAACTGTTGTGTTTTGGACCGAATATGTTTTACGTCATTATGGTGCTGCACATATGCAAAGTCCTTTGGTGCATATGAATTTCATCGAGAGTCTTAACTTGGATATATACTTGTTTATTGTGATTATATTATATGTGATTTTTAGAATTTTCAAATTCGTTACTCTATTCATTTTGGCCAAAGTTTGCAAAAAAGGTTCAGCGGCGGCGTCGAATAAAAAGGCTAAAAAAGTAAAATCACAATGAAATTAAATTAAGTAAGATATTTTTTAAAAAATATAATTTTTTTATATTCCCCTGGATTCATAAGCTATTTTTAAATTTTTTGTAATACAGTTTATAAATTAGATTTTGTATGAAAATTTTGTTTTATAAACCTTTTATAAAATAAAGATGTTGTTTGTGAATAAGGGGATAAGTATTTTCTTAAAGTTATAGTACAAATTAGAGTAACTTATACAAAAGGTACTTTAAAATTCATTTTTCATCCGGCACTGCCATCTAAAATAGTACTAATTTAGGTTTTCAATTATTAAACCAATTTTCCGCTAGACACAATACTGACTCTAGACTAGACTATAGACTAGATAATAGACTAGACTATAGACTAGACTATAGACTAGACTATAGACTAGACTACAGACTAGACTATAGACTAGACTAGACTATAGACTAGACTACAGACTAGACTATAGACTAGACTTTAGACTAGACTATAGACTAGACTATAGACTGGACTATAGACTAGACTATAGGCTAGACTATAGACTAGACTATAGACTAGACTATAGACTGGACTATAGACTAGACTATAGACTAGACTATAGATTATAGACTATAGACTAGACTATAGACTAGACTATAGACTAGATTATAGACTAGACTAGACTTTAGACTAGACTATGGACTAGACTATGGACTAGACTATAGACTAGACTATAGACTAGACTATAGCCTAGACTATAGACTAGACTATAGCCTAGACTATAGACTAGACTATAGACTAGACTATAGACTAGACTATAGACTAGACTATAGACTAGACTAGAGACTAGACTATAGACTAGACTATAGACTAGACTATAGACTAGACTATAGACTAGACTATAGACTAGACTATAGACTAGACTATAGACTAGACTATAGACTAGACTATAGACTAGACTATAGACTAGACTATAGACTAGACTATAGACTAGACTATAGACTAGACTATAGACTAGACTATAGACTAGACTATAGACTAGACTATAGACTAGACTATAGACTAGACTATAGACTAGACTATAGACTAGACTATAGACTAGACTATAGACTAGACTATAGACTAGACTATAGACTAGACTATAGACTAGACTAGACTATAGACTAGACTATAGACTAGACTATAGACTAGACTATAGACTAGACTATAGACTAGACTATAGACTAGACTATAGACTAGACTATAGACTAGACTATAGACTAGACTATAGACTGGACTATAGACTAAACTATAGACTAGACTATAGACTAGACTATAGACTAGACTATAGACTAAACTATAGACTAGACTATGGACTAGACTATAGACTAGATTATAGACTAGACTAAAGACTAGATTATAGACTAGACTATAGACTAGACTATAGACTAGACTACAGACTAGACTATAGACTAGACTATAGACTAGACTATAGACTAGACTATAGACTAGACTTTAGACTAGACTTTAGACTAGACTTTAGACTAGACTTTAGACTAGACTATGGACTAGACTATAGACTAGACTATAGACTAGACTATAGACTAGACTATAGACTAGACTATAGACTAGATATAGACTAGACTATAGACTAGACTATAGACTAGACTATAGACTAGACTATAGACTAGACTATAGACTAGACTATAGACTAGACTATAGACTAGACTATAGACTAGACTATAGACTAGACTATAGACTAGACTATAGACTAGACTATAGACTAGACTATAGACTAGACTATAGACTAGACTATAGACTAGACTATAGACTAGACTATAGACTAGACTAGACTAGACTATAGACTAGACTATAGACTAGACTATAGACTAGCTAGACTAATAGACTAGACTATAGACTAGACTATAGACTAGACTATAGACTAGACTATAGACTAGACTATAGACTAGACTATAGACTAGACTATAGACTAGACTATAGACTAGACTATAGACTAGACTATAGACTAGACTATAGACTAGACTATAGACTAGACTATAGACCTAGACTATAGACTAGACTATAGACTAGACTATAGACTAGACTATAGACTAGACTATAGACTAGACTATAGACTAGACTATAGACTAGACTATAGACTAGACTATAGACTAGACTATAGACTAGACTATAGACTAGACTATAGACTAGACTATAGACTAGACTATAGACTAGACTATAGACTAGACTATAGACTAGACTATAGACTAGACTATAGACTAGACTATAGACTAGACTATAGACTAGACTATAGACTAGACTATAGAAGACTATAGACTAGACTATAGACTAGACTATAGACTAGACTATAGACTAGACTATAGACTAGACTATAGACTAGACTATAGACTAGACTATAGACTAGACTATAGACTAGACTATAGACTAGACTATAGACTAGACTATAGACTAGACTATAGACTAGACTATAGACTAGACTATAGACTAGACTATAGACTAACTATAGACTAGACTATAGACTAGACTATAGACTAGACTATAGACTAGACTATAGACTAGACTATAGACTAGACTATAGACTAGACTATAGACTAGACAATAGACTAGACTATAGACTAGACTATAGACTAGACTATAGACTAGACTATAGACTAGACAATAGACTAGACTATAGACTAGACTATAGACTAGACAATAGACTAGACTATAGACTAGACTATAGACTAGACTATAGACTAGACTATAGATTAGACTATAGACTAGACTATAGACTAGACTATAGACTAGACTATAGCCTAGACTATAGACTAGACTATAGACTATACTATAGACTAGACTATAGACTAACTATAGACTAGACTATAGACAAGACTATAGACTAGACTATACACTAGACAATAGGCTAGACTAGACTATTTCGGCTTTTTTTCGTACTTATAATAAACTTTTTTTATAATAAACTCTCTTGATAAGTAGTCCACCTTATCAAAAAGGTTTATAAGTTGGCATAAGTATGGGAATGCCATGGGGGTAACACGGTATTTTTTGATATAGTACTGAATTTTCCATGCCGATATACGATCACAAACAATATTCATTTCATAATAAGTATTCAAAATTACCTTTATTAAGATTCTATTTAGAAAACTTTTGATAATAGATGTGACTCCTTTTAGTTTAGCCCTATACGCATATGTATTATTTTCTTTAAGTCCCCCATGTTGAAGAAATTACTCACGATGTGGACATGACTTTTCCAAATATTACAATTGATTGATCCATATCTGTAGAATATTTCTAAAGAGCAAAATGAGTTTCTTCTCCCGTCATGATTATGGGTAAAAATATTAAATAAAAATATTTTTTTTTTTTGAAGTTCAAAATTGTATGAAATGATAAGATAACCGATTATAATCTAATTTCTATGATTTGTTTTTTAAAGATTGTAATTTATCGCAATTCACTGATAACTTATACACAGAATAAATTGGTCACTTGCCGCTAAAGAATAAACATGCATAAAACTCACTTAGCTGATAAAATGTTCAGTAGTTTTTCTCAAATCATACAAATGAAAACACTCGCCATGACCAGAGAAAGTTTAGGCGTGTTAAGTATTCTCTTAACAATATGCTTAACATGGCAAGGATCACAAGTAAATGGAGCCAACATTTTGGGTATCTTCACCAGCCACAGTACCTCACATTTGATTGTACACATGTCGGTGGCAAAAGTTCTGGCAGAAAGAGGACACAATGTAACCATAGTTGCGTCGCAAGAACCCAAAGTTAAGCATGATAAAATAAACATGATCATCATACCACCCAGCGCAGAAGTGGAGGAGAAGATTGGTAAAGTCATGAAAGAAAAGGTTACACAAAAAACATCCTTTTTTACTTATGTAGTAAATTTCTTTGATTCCGTAAAACCCATGATCGATATGCAGGCTGATATGCTAAAAGATCCTCGCTTTACAGTGCTCTACGAAAATCCTGATACGAAATTTGATTTAGTTATAATGGGTTATTTCATGAACTCTTTTGTTTTTGGTATGGGTGCCAGATTTAAAGCGCCACTTGCCATTAGTTGGATGGGACCACCAATGTTAATAAGTGATATTTTTGTGGGTAATCCGAGTGAAGTGTCATATGTACCTGATATGAATATGTCTATTAAAGTTAATAAAAAAATGACATTCTTACAACGTCTTCAGAATTTATTTATGAATATGTTTTTCAGATTGATTAAACAAATGTTGGATGTTCGTATGCGTCATTTGTACAGGTAAATGAGAGATTTAATATTTTTAATGTTAAAGATTGTTTCTAATTAGTGTTTTTCATTTACAGTGAACTGTACCCTACTGACGGTTCTTTTCCCACTTTGAGTGATATGGAAAAGAATGTTTCTTTGGTATTCTGCAACAGTCATTTTACTGAAGGTTCTGTTAGACCCAATGTTCCAGCCGTTGTTGAAATTGGTGGTATTCAGGTTAAGAATAAACCTGAACCCTTGCCACAGGTGAGTGTCTTTGAATCAAATTTTCACAAAAAGTGATCTTAAGACTCAATATCAATCTTTCAGTTAACTTGGTTTCACTCCATTATTTTCAGTTCACCTATTTCTATGAATTATCTTTTGAGAATTCTTTTAATATTTTATTATGATAATTTTTTAGGACATCGCTAAATTCCTTGATTCTGCCAATGAAACCGGAGCCATACTCTTTAGTTTGGGTTCCAATCTAAAAGGATCCAGCATTAAACCCGAAACTACCACTTATATTTTTAATGTCTTATCAAAACTGCAGCAGAAAGTTATTTGGAAATGGGAAGACTTAAATAAAACACCTGGAAAATCGCCCAACATTCTATACAAAAAATGGATGCCACAAGATGATATTTTGGCACATCCTAATATCAAGTTGTTTATCACTCATGCCGGTAAAGGCGGTGTAGCAGAAGCTCAATATCATGGTGTTCCCATGGTCGCTTTACCCGTATTTGCCGACCAACATGTCAATGCTAAGAAATTAGTAAATGCTGGTTATGGTCAAGATTTAGATCTGCTAA